CCAGCCTCAACGTGCTGTTGTTAAACAAACATTAACAGAGTACATGTGTCAAGATCCTTGAGAACTGAAAGTGCCACTTGTGAACTTCAAAGTTTAGGTACAAATGGCACAGTGTTTAACATGCATCAAACTGAGAAATCAGGCTACAAGCACATCCCACCCTTATCACAACAAATTAACACACACACTTCCACAGCAATTGTCCAAGAAAGACTGACACAGTTGGGTTACAGGGTTGGATCGTATCAGTCCCAAACATTGGGTGGCTTAGTCTGTCAAGGGTTTGGTCAACATCAATCCGTCATAATTAGGCTTTGGAACTGTTTTATTTCTTGAGCACCATGAGGTGCAGGGCAGCCGGTGGGGAAAACAAGGTTTCAAGCTATTTTTTAATATACCTCTTTAACATATGTAGGTAAAACAGACAAAATCTGAGCCATACATTGTTTGGTGACCATCACATCCTGTGCAGAATTGTCATGGGATTCAGGTGGCATGCAGGTAAGTCTTTTAATATCTAATTCAGCTGAAGTGTTTTTATGACGATGTGAAACAGATGCATTTCTCATGAAAATAAAGCTAGAGTGAGCCAACAATAAAGCAATATGGGGATATCGCTAAAATGAATAGCCGTACATATGGACGTCTGTGAACTGGTGTTCTTTACTGAGCATTAGGAATTGGTAGTAACTCTCTTCATTTATAATTATCAGATAAAAAAAAAAAAAAAGGTTTTTTTAAATTCATCATAAACTGAAACCTAACACACGGTTACTTTAGAGTTATTTTAGGCACTGGAATTGTTTCATTAGGGGACTAAAATGCTTTTTGAGTGTTTCATTGTGGCATCACCAGAGTTGGGTTTGTTGACAACAAAGTTTCTAGAGAAGGACTAAGTCGTCATCTGCTGTAAACCTAATGACCCTCCTGCTTGGGTTCCAACAATATTTGGAGGGGTGGATCCCTATTTTGATTTGTGCTGGCATTAAAACTAATCCAGCTACTTAAATATCAATTACCTAATAAAACTAAGGTGGCCAGACAGAACAAATTCAGGCATAGCTAAAGACCTACGGTAGATCCTCATCCAGAAGGCCAGCCCAGTTGTCAAGCCTGGATGCCCATTTAAACAATTTTAAACGATTATTAGAACCAGCGCTTGGTGTGGGTGATTCATAGGTGCAAATCCAAGGACGGTAACGTTAATAACCAGGTGTTACCGTTAAAATTGACTCATATCATAAACCATGATAAAGTTCATGAAAATAAATGCACACATGACGCTGTTATTAGGGACTTCCAAGTATCTTTCTAATAACTGTACCGGTCAGGCACTGTGCGATTTAGAGACCATAAGTGGGCGTGCTGTGTGCGCAAATGAAATGGCCTAATGGTGCCAGTTGAGACGGACCACAATTCTGAGAGCCATAAAGAAAAAAACTCAAAGTTTGCCAATCTAGCTAATCTGTGATCTTGTTGCCTGTGTTTTAATTGGTTCCTCGTTTATGAGTAGAGATACAATGATACTAGGCACACATTGGTGTTCGAATTTCTGGGCGTCAGGCATGGTGCACTTCAGTGAACTCAGACCCCGGCTCAATGGATAGCTGGCTCAACCTGAAACCTGTCTACCTAAGAACGTTCATTTAAGTTATATTGTTTGGGTTTAATTTCGACACCTGGGACGCAACCTGAAGCACTGGTGCGACCTCAAACTGAGTACTTGGCTGCTTTTAGCTTGGAGCTAAATATACTACATAGCCGTTCCTGGCCTCTTCAGTTTCTGGAAATATAAGCGCAATGATTTGTGATTTGTCTGTATCATATTCAGCATCGGTAGGTACTAGATGCCTGATCACCGATACCTTCTATTGGTGGGCTTCGGCATCTGCCAATTCGGGGCATATGAAAATATATTAAAAGAGGTGGCTTTTAGGGTTCTATAAAAGAAACGTTGCTAGCTATTGGACTATAAATTATAAGCGGCAGTCGTTATGATGAAAATATAAAATGACATAATTACAAGAAGATGTGCATCGGTGAACGGGTAATAAGTTTGGCTTACGTAATTTTTTCTGACCCAAATGGGTCCTTGGTTCAACCAAATGGAATTCAATATCATCATCATCTCTTCATCATGGATAACGGTTTTCATACTAAGAACATGCATTCGCTTTGAACAGGGTTAATGGAGGCCAAATGCTAGGACCGCGGTTAAGCGTTTTCAAGATTTCCATATTTCAATTTTGGCACCGGTAAAGGTTGTGACGTACATCTAAGCTGGCTGTGTAAGTTGAACAGTTATTGAATATTTGGTGGCATTTCAGTTTTATATGTATTTACCGTGCAGAGGTATTATAAGCGGTTCGCCGAAAGAAGGAGATGAAGTGCCGGGCAACCTACAGTGAGGATGGCAACGAACTGGCTAAGTACATTTCCCGTGGACGCCAGTTGGCTCTGCCTTCCAGCTATTAATGGGGATCAACAACGATGAACTAACCATCCTGAAAAAAGAAAAGGGGGAAGCAAACGAGGCGCTAGGCGCAATTTTAATAAACCTAACGTTGGCGGTGGCTCGCGATTATGAAGCGTTACGCTGTAATCTCTTACCATGCGGTTGCCAGTAATTTTCATTCTTCACTTTTGTCCTAAGTCCCCGTCTCTGTCCCACAACCTCCTCTGTTCAGGTGGTGGCGGGTATGCCAGAGGTACCTCGCAGGTTTCAGTAGTAACGTTGTTGCTTCAATGGGTTGTGGTTCCTGTTTCGTTTCGCACTTGGCACTAGGATCGCTAGTTCATCGTTGCTGATTCCTCCCATACTGATGAAGTTGGAAGGCAGACGCTGGAGTGTCTACGCAGGGGTGATGGTAAACAACCATGACTTCGGCGTAAATCTGCTATGATTTATCGGAACAAGTTTCTTCCTTTTAACTTCCTTATCTTAAATGCCATTTTTTATTTTCCCTCTGGGCTAAAAGGTGATGGCGGGGTATGGTACCTCTGGCGGTTTCTAGTGGCACTGCAGGGTGAGCTGCTGTATTGGGTTGATGGTTCCCACAAATTACCTCGTTTGACCCTATTTTTTGCGCCAAAGTTAATGGACATCGTTGCTGATTCCTTACCGTATTGATGAAGCCGGAAGACAGAAACACTGAGTGTCTACAGGTAGTCATATTTTAACCATGAAGACGGGCTCATCCTATTGGTTTTAATAATTTACCATTCTTCTTATTTTAATTATATTTAATTTATTACTAAATGGGAAATAATTATAAATTAGGACTTTTAATAAAAGTTTAATTAAAATTATGTAAATAAAGTAAACAACATAAAAATAAAATACAAAAAAAAAAAAAAAAAAAAAAAACAAAAATACATAAATAAAACAAAATTCAAAACTACGAGGTATACGAATTTAAAAACTGTGAGATTTCCCAATGGACATAGATCTACTACGTATTTCTGGAATCAAAATAAGTTCATTGGACACTTTTAATAAAAAGACTAAGGAAGGAGTATAATGCTATCCATGTATTCATGCATGGTGGGCGGAAAAAGGACTCTAGGGTGGGGATCCTTGACAGTTCTGTTTGACGATTCACTTGACGGCACATATTTGAATGGTTGAAATTTTGTGGATTTTTTTTTTTTTTTTTTATGTTGTTTATATGTGTATTTATTCTACTACTGATAGTTGTATAAGGTAGGCGAAATCTGTAGCTCCTAGAATGGCTTTAAATTTTGTTTTGGTGCAAACCTAAAGTATATGTACTTGGGACTTGGAAAATGGCTTTGCTATAGATTGGCTCAAAAGTGTAGTGGATTAAGTTTGATTTTTAAATGGAACACCTGTATGTATTGCATTTTTTGGCTTCCTTTCAGATCACTTTGTAGTCTAAGATAGCAGAGTAAATCTATTTGGGTAGTTCCAGAGATATTAAAAATTAATCAAAATATATATTTTCAGCCCTTCTCAAAAATTATTAAAATAAAAAAAAAACTGTTCTGAAATCAAAACTATATTAGGTATTTACTTTAGATGGTCTGTTCTTACTTTACTATAAAATATGGTAATTGCAGATATACAGTTGGCCCGCAATATTATTCTTAAACTTTCTAAAAATCCAAAATAGCTTTTCTTCGTTTTTTTTTATGAGACACCTATTTTTTATTAATTGATTTTTTTTTTTTTTGTTTTTTTGTATTTAGAAATTATTTCGCAAAATTTTTAGCTCAGTTTTACGGATGCATATTATTATTTTCATGTGGCGCTTTTAAATGAGTAAATGCAGAAAAATCATTTTAGGTGGCTTTGATAAAATTTTTGTACAAAATGCCTTATAGGAAATGCAAACCAGGAATATCCTGCAGGAGCCGTTAAAATTTTGGAAATGCTCTCATTGTTAATTCTCCATCTATTGAAAATGGCCATACAGAACCTCCACAAAAACAGAGAAAATGAATTTTGCTATTTTAGAAAGTTCGGCAATGAAAGACATCCTGTGTATTCTATTCTGTGAAATGAATACAGAACTATCCCACAAGCTCTTCAGGACAATTCTCTTATCAATTTTTTTAAGAAAAGACAAAAGTATATAATTTTTATTGTTGAAGTAATATCTCTGAAATTATCAAATTATATTTATAATATCTTAGGATTATGTAAAGTGATCTGAAAAAGTCTAATATCTGAGGTGTTCATTAAAGAAACAAATTATAAAAAAAAAAAAAAAAAAAATATTTTCCTGAAATAGAATCCTGTATACTTTAGGTTTTAGCAATCAAAATTCCCAAATCCTTTATTCCCCAGAACCTGGACCTGTTTCTACTAATTACCCGGACCTGTATAGTAATATACCTTTGGTGTGTGAAACCGATCATTTATTCTAAGCAGTAAAATGAAAACAAAAATTGTGGAGTCTAACCCACGTCTACCCTACATCATGGTTTACACTTTTAAATAAAATTGGGCTTGGCATGGTGAATTTGAGTCAGGCCATATTTGGGTCTATCACTTAGTTGGATCTAAGATTTTTGATATGTTCCTTCCTTAATCTTTTAATTCGAAGATTGGACACAACTTACCTCAACAACTTTAAAAAAATAAACACGTTTTTTAAGATAGTTTAAGGAACAATACTCCGATTTGAAATGTGTTTATTTATTTAACTTTGATGCCCTCTGACGGACAAACGAAGCATTTTTGCATAGACGTAAATTGTGCCCAATGAATTTACTTTGATTCCGAAAATACGTAGTAGTTCCATGTCCACGGGATATTTAGACACCCTGTATACCAAATTTAATCAATTCTTCTTTCTTAGTCTTTCGCTGGACTTGTCCATAGAGGTGAGCCAATCCTCTAGTTCCGGAGGCGGCGTTGGACGATAGGAGACATCTTTACCAGTCAGTTTTGCCATAATTTCTGGCACATTCAGTCCAATGGTAGTTTGTTTACTCAGAACAACAGCTCGTACGAAGTTGTCTCTCAGAGTTACGAATTGTTGTTCGATGTATAACGTCTTTTCGTCCCAAGAAACGATCTTAAAAAAGAAATAATATATTAGGCTCTCCCAGAGTTACTTCTATTGATCTTTAGAAGAGGAAAAACTTTTTTATCGTTGATATTTTGAGAAAAAAGTATTCATATAATTTTTGCTTGTTCTAAAATGGTTAAACCCGTTTATACTTTTCCAAACTGTTTTAGAGAAAAAAAAACCTGAAATGATTGAATCATCACAGAGATATCACAACCCTAGATCATAATATATACTTACATGGATAAATCAACGCCATAACAACGAAATTAATTTTAAGTTTGTCCAATTATATTTCTATTTTTTTTTCGTTGGACTTTGTAAATACTCGGAAAAATGACTAGAAAGTGTTTGGTGTGTGAAAGTTCTAATATAAAGGTCCCCGAATTATGTTTTCATAGGCAAGTAAAGTGTATTCAGTTGTTTTTTTTATTTATATTAAACTTTTTTTTTTTTTTTTTTTTTTTTTTTTTTTTTTTTTTTTTTTTTTTTTTTTATTGTATTGTTCTTACAATTTAATTTTTGTGACAGTAAAATTTTTGTGACATTTAACAAATTAATGTTAAATTTAGATGAGCAGTGTGGATATCAAATGATTGCTGAGTGAGATGTGAGTCGTTGATATGTTTGCGACAGTTTCCATAGTTATTTCCATATCACATGTTACAGAAAATTACTATCACAGGATCATAAGTAAATATTTCTAAACCAAAAACTCGTAATTTAAAAAGTAGTAATAATAAAAAAGATGACAATGTGTGAGAAAATAAATAAATAAATGTTTCAACTTGACATTTTTTACAGCAGAGCTACAACCTGAGTCCCCAGCGCGAAATTTAAATTCCAGTTAGCCATCCCGGCGCCGAATATGTCCACAGTTGGCAACAGTGAATTTCAAAATCGCGCCCTCGATTACGCAACAAAACGTTTAAGTGGTGTCGCTTATACAGGGTGTACCAGAAATAAGTGTGAAAAGAATTATTTTATCTAAAAAAAAAAAAAAAAAAAAAAAGAAAGAAACATATTTTTCTCTTTATCGTTTTTCAATTCAGAAGTCCAAAATAACAGGTTATTTTACTTAGAAAGAATTACTCAAATTTTGAAAACTACTAAGATCTTTTCCTGGATTTTCTTTCTTATGAATTTAATTTACTACCTATATTGCCACATTATCAACAAGAGTGCTGTTTTAACCTTCAAAACAAATCCAAAAGTTGTTCAAAAAATTTTCAGGAAAGAAATAATGACATTTGGGGTTTTGATTTCTAGGTTTATCTATATTTATACTTTGTGTGACTTTGTAGGCCTGTAGTAAAGGCATTGTCCTCCTATATCTGATATTAGATGCTGTTTGTAGCACATGACCATCGACCTTTTTTATTTCGTCATATATGCCGGTCCTTTCATAAAAATGAAATCTGGCAAAGTCCAATTCCCTCACGTATCGAGCATTGTTCATATGTTTGAAGAATATGTCCAAGTCCTGTGTAGTTACTAAACCTAAAATTTATTATGCGATTTAAATTGATTTCTCGGGCGAATTTGAATTGAATAGCTATAGGCACAATAAAAGATATTTTTACAGTAAAAATATATGCACATAATTTCAATTTACATCCGCTGCGTAAAATGAAAAGGCTATAAAGACGTTTTATCTTTCTATTGAATGCACGGTTCAATTATTTATAAAATACAGGGTTGGTCCGAATTGTATTCCGGAAACTTCGGCAACATATTCTGCAGATAAAAATAAGTAAAAACCTTTGAATAAGAAGACTAAGGAAGGAGCATATCAAAAATCTTAGGTACACCGCGATGGGCCTCAAATATGGCCGACTTACATTCCGGTTTATCAGTGTCGTTCTAATTTTATTTAAAAAATGTAAAACTATGATGTAGGTTAGACGTGGGGTGACTCAATAATTTATTGTTTTATTTACGGTTGTGAATAACTGTTGGTAGTTATTAAAATTGTTATAAAAATATATATTCTAATAAAATAGAATAAGTTATAATAAGTATTTATTAACACAAACTCCGATACGCCTACTGAAGCAGGTAAGTCCAATTAACGTATCTAAATTCTTTGACATCTAATCTTTGAACAAGTAATAAATAAAAGCTAAATGCAAGAAAAATATATAATTTAGTAAATTTAAGTGAAGATTTCATAATTGATCGGTTTACTACACGTATGTATATTTATATAGTCACTTACTAGCGTAAAGTTGTTCCATTATTTTCACTCAATTTTTGCCGAGATCTACCGCACGCTACACAACAACTATTGTAGAGTCCTTTTTCGATAAATCGGATAGTGTCAACTGTTAATTTAAGTTCTGCACAATTTCCATCTAGATCTACTACTTTATACAACTATCAGTAGTAGAATAAATAAATAAATAACATAAAATAAGCTCCGTAAAGACTGACAAATCCACAAAAATTTTCAAATAAAATTCCAAATGTGTCAAATGAATCGTCAAACAGAACTGTCAAGGATCCCCACCCTAGAGAGCTTTTATGGTGGCTTTTCCGCCCACCATGCATGAATACATGGATAGCATTATGCTCCTTCCTTAGTCTTCTTATTCAAAGGTAAAAACGTTCGTATCATTGTATGTTCTAAAATGCTTAGTTATAGAGATACAGAGTGTAGAAGTTTCATTTTCATTTGGATTTTTCACTGTCAGTTTTTTGACATGTGAAATATTCAAATTTCGTAAGCAACAATGTCGTGCTTATCGCAATTTAATTCAAAAATTAAGGACAAAAGATGAGAAAAAATTTAGGAATTTTCACAGATTGTCTGTACAGGAGTTTGATAACTTGGTTGAAGTTGAAAAATTGTCACCATATATATCAATAACATATTATGCACCAGAACCCATTTCAGCTGGAGAAATGCTTTCAGTTACTTTGCGGCAGCGTCGTCAAAATAATCGATAACCGGATCACAACACCATTCTGCGCAAACGCGAACCTTAAAATCGCGCGAATATTCGCAAAAAGTTGAAAACACTTTAACTTTCCCGCCGCCCAAATTTTAAATCTTGCAAATCGCCAAAATCTTAAAATTTCTGACAGCGCCGCCATGATCAGTAAAATTGGACCAATGAGAGCAGTTTCGCAAAATCGCGATTCGCGATTCGCGTCTACGTCAACAAGGCTTTATACAGATACGGACGAAAAGTTATTACTCTTCAAAACAGTAAAACCATAGAGTAAAACACATGTAGGTGTGTTTTGACATGAGAAATTTGATTTTGATGTCAATCAGTGTTGTTACAATAGGTACAATTGTACTATTTTGGGTACATCTGATAGTCAAGGAGTACATAGGTACAATTGCAAGAAAAAATGTACAATTCTTACTTCTCAAACCCAAACTTAAACCCACGTACATATTTTTAGACGAACGGTGATACGTCGATGCGTGGATTTGAAATGCAGGTTGCTAGGAGCAGAGGCACAGAATTATACATCACTTGAAATGCTGTTCAAGCATGGCTCAAGCCGCACGGATGTCAAACATAAGTTTGATATCCATGCGGTGAGTAAGAGGGGGGCTAATCACTGCAACCTTAAGAGATCTTTCGCCAAACCAACGTGACGCTACGATCCAATTAGTTCCCATTTAACCAATGCTATTCAAAGCTTTTTGTAGCTTCTGTATTGCTGTCCTCCATTTGCGAATTTCAAGTTCCGAGCTTTACGCCCCTGGGCTACTCAGAACCGTTCTGAAAGGAGCTGTGCGAGATAGCCTGGTGCCTCCATATTGCGCGGAATAGTTCTGAACTTTATGACTCAATTGAATGGAGTGAGAGTATTGCGTTCTTGAACAGTTCAGAGCTGCTTAACTGCGTGAAAGGAGGACAGCATATGTTGTATAATTCTGTGAGGGTGCATCCACATTATCCTAAAAAAAAAGCGGATCGGCGGCGGTGTACGCCGTAACGACCTTGAATCGACTTTGCCAGCAATTCTATGGGCTGAAAAATTCATCTGTCAGGAATTTTATCTGTCAAATTCACCTGACAAAAATTTCAGCCAATAAAAATGCAAGGAAATCGATTCAAAGGTCGTTAAGAATCCAATACGGCCGTTCCGCTGTTTTTACGGATACGTGTGGATGCACCCTACGTACCAAAAATTGGTAAAAAGGTAAATAGAGAGATCACATGACCCCACATTTTTGCACCAACAGTGTACAATCCCACTTAAAAAAGTACAATTTCGACACCATTTATAGTACAAACATTTTTGCCCTTGTAACAACACTGATGTCAATATGACTCCGATTTGTAGGGGCACCACCTACATGTGTTTTAACTGTTTTGAAGAGTAATAACTTTTCGTCCGTACCTGTATACTATTGGGTTGTTAAAAAAATACAAATTTCCGTGATTTTTTACGTAAAAAACATCTCTTGGTAAAAACATATACGTATTACTTTTTTAACAAATTACTGCATGCCTAATTCTCCAAAAGTGAAGCCAAACGTGAAAGAACGCAGTATATGGAATTTTGCATAAGTCTGTTTCACCCGGATATTCATTCAATGCCGCTCTCTAATAAGAAACAGCCCTTGGGGCGAGATTTATGACGTCATGCTTAGTTAGATACTACGGATTAATAAATATGTTTAGAATACTGGAAAACATAAATTATTCCTCAGATTTTTTGGTTTGTATTTTAAACAATTTTTTTTTTTTTTTTTTTTTTTTTAATATACATTTAATAACTACAACATATTTACCTATTTATGAAATTACAATACTTTTGGCAGACTAAATGATGAACCATACAAATGCAGCAGAAAATGTTTTACAAATATACAAAATAGATGTAATTACATAAGATATTGGTAAAATGTAAATATTATTTTAAATTTTAAAAAAAAAAAAAAAAATCTAATTTTAACAAAAAAAAAACATTTTTTTTTTTTTTTTTTTTTTTTTTTTATTATTTGCATTCACAAATTTATATGTATATTTTGCAAGTATCAATGTTCGAAAAATTATATTTACAATGGTAAGGTGTGGATCCGTTGGCTGACCTTGAAGCCCTTATTTGCTGCATTTGATCCTCGATACGACGCAAGCGCACATCGTCGATGTTGCCAAAATTGCAGTTTATGTTCGAATTATTTGCAGTTAAAAAAATTAAAAAAAAAAAAATATATTATTAATTATATTTAATAATATAATTTATAATTTCAACATTTATCTGATATCCAAGAATTAAGGGTAAGAAGGATAATGAAAATTGTGAAATGAAGAGTATATGAACTATATAAACAATTGTAATAATAATAACATTTACTTTATATATTTAACATTAGAATTAGAAATTATCATGTACGCGGACTTTTTCTATGGTTTCTAAACTTATTAAGAATTATTTTATTTCTGACCATTTTTAAATCGTTTTAATTTTTACGTGTTTTTAAAATGCCTGGGCCAAGTTGTGCAGCAAAAAACTGCCCGAGTAGAGGACTAAACTGCAATAAAAGTTTTTTCTGTTTTTTTTTTTTTTTTTTTTGGGTCACCCTGTATATGTGATTATTTATTTTTAACTATTTTAGTTAACAAAACAGTAGTATCAGATACATTTAGGATTCAGCTTAAATAGAAAGATCTAGATTAAAACTATACCAAGTTTCAGCATCTATATAAATGTTTAAACAAACTTATATCAGGCGTGAGTCTTAAATAAGTGCAAATAATTTTCGGGCTGCGGCAGATACTCGAATAAAAGAAAACATAATTTTAATCCTTACTTTTTCAGATAAATTCAAAATAACCGAGTTATCTAAGTTTAAAAAAAAAAAATGTCTTTCAAGTTATTTAATTTCTAGTTATTTACAGGCAACGATAGTTTTGATTTATATGTATTGATGTTTTGAAATAATACTACCATGACGAGTATTATAGAACAATACACGCCAATGGGAGATAAGAGGTAACATCTACCTATAATGTTAATAAATACAATATACATACAAATATTACTTTGGAATTATAATGGTTTTGTATCATATTTCCTAAAAAATATCAAGTTTAGTGGATTAATAGCAATTTTAAACAGTATTATTTTATTATCTAAAAAAAAAATAAATAAGATAAAATAAGCTTTCATGTTTTATTTTTCTCTTTAGAAGGGAGATGGCCAGTGTCGTAGAATACATTAAAGTATTTAATAATCCGTGTACTTTGATGATTTTTTTTTCTTATTTACTGTAATTTCTTGGTTCCTATAATGCCAATCTTGACAATACATGGTTGAAGGTTGAGTTTGATCTTATTAGTTTTACGCCTGTGTTTATACAAGACGAAATTAAAATTAGTTTAGTAATTAATTCTGTGATTTATATTAAGATCTTTCTTATAATATTTGTTATGTCTTAAACTAATATTATGCTTTGTCTGTAAAAGATATATCTTTAATTTGCATATCCTATTCCATACTTCCATTAGGAAAAATATTGGTTTAGGAAATCATATTATGCTAAGAAAATCACATAAATTAGGTGTAAGAATAGAGAAATCTTAAGGTAGCAGAAAATTAAGCAATAGTTGTATAGTCAGAGTAAACGAGGTAACCTGTAAATATTCCGAAGCTGATTCTACAATTTTTATTACGGAGGCTAAAGGCTTTTAAGGCCTCCGTAGTTTTTATGTGGAATCGTTAAAGAAAAAAAACCTAATTAATGAACCTGAAACTGGAGCTACAGCATTTAAAAATTAAAAAAAAAGAAAACTTGGACACATCCCTTTTAATTTCCCGAATTTTTAATAAAGCACTTTTTAAACGTAGCATAATAATCTAGAGCAGATCTAGAGCAATTAGATTAATTAAGGAATCTGAGAATTTTATTTCTATTAATTTATTGACTATGAAAATAGATAAAGCGTTTTCAGTTTCACGTGTTGTTGCAAAATATTAAAATAAATAATATAAATATTTTTTTTTTTTTTTTATCGAAAAAAAAAATAGCCTCAGGGTGACTATGAAATGCAGATTCGTGTCATTTTATATGCAGAATTACTCAATCGTCCTTTTCCGGCCAACTGGACGCCGTTTTTTTTTTTTTTTTTTTTTTTTTTTGAAAAAAAAACTGAAAGAGCACATATTTGTTTTCCTACTGAAAATAATTCCAAATATAACTATTGCAATCTGGCAACCATCGAAGGTGTACGCAATTGCGTAGTGTAGTGTGACTATTTGCAGCAAAAACTCGTTTAAAGGTCAGCCACCGGATCCACACCATTACCTTACAAATAATCACAATAGTCATATTAAAAAAGGCGTCAGCGATGGCTATGAAATGAAAGATTCGCTGGCATTTTATACGTAAAATTTTCTTCTAAAATTCTTTGAATTTTCTTTGGGTTTTTTAGGTTCGCGAAAAACGCTGATTTAAGCTTTCATTTGGGTTTTCATATTTTTTATTTGGTTTTAAAAAAAAACGTTTTGGCTAACTATAGCCTTCATCATTGTTGTGTCAAATGAAGAACAAATAATGTATCGAATATAATCCAAAAATTTACATATGAAAATTAATTTCACACCACATATGTTTACTGCAATTAATAAATAAGAATAAAACTATCAATAAGAAGATGATCGTAGCATATTTTTAGACATTATGTATTCTTAACATAAACTAATCTACAGTTGATCTATGACTTATGGAGTACGCAGTAAACATTATGTGGTGCGTGGTGTGAATATTTATAATGTAATTTTTTGGATTTTTTTTTTTTTTTTTTTTTTTTTTTTTTCTTATGACACAACACTGTGAAGGCTATAGATACATTTGATGAAGGCCGAAACGTTTTTTTTTTAAACCAAATAACAAATAATGAAAAACCAAATGAAAACTTAATCAGCACTTTTCCCGAACCTAAATCCCCAAGAAAATGATAAAAATTAGAATATTTAGAAAACAAGTGTTCAGGGAACTACAAATTTGTCGCAGATTGTAAAATTGCTATTTAAGTTTTTTTATGTGGTACAATTATTTTAAGGAATGTCATCGATGTTCAATTTCCAAGCCAACTAAACGGGCCGGATTTTTTTTTCGAGGATACGGTATAAATTCTTAAATAAAAATGTAAATAAATTCGACAATTAAAACAAAGAAATATGAATTTTTTTTTTTTTTTTTTTTTTTTTTTTTGATTTTCTAAAACTTATATTTTGTATTGCAAATATACCGCAATTTTATTGAGTTAATTTTTATTTTTTTTTTTTTTTTTTTTTTTAATTGTAAAAATATTTGATATTAATTGGGTATTATAAATAATCGACACTATCAGTAAAAATTACTGAAAAATATACTGTTATGCTTTACATAATTATATTATCCAACAAAAACACATTCTTCTTTTACTTTTATCATTCTTGTCCTTTAACCAAAAATCTTTGTTTAATTTTGAATTCAAAATATATAATCTTCTTCATGATCTTAATACACATATTCTTTTTTTTTCCCCTCGATCATAATACCTACTTACATGTTTATCTTATGTGTTTGAATCTATCGAAGCTGACCCAGCAACACTTGGAGTGAGGATTCCATCCAATATGGCAATAAATAAACATAATTGTCCAGTTTTTATTAATACCATCATGGGAGATATACTATTTTTAGCAATTTATTAAAAGATATTTCAATAGAATTCTCTTGATTTATAACTCGTACCCCACTTTTCTTGCTCTTACGGACACTTTAGGCTGCCTACTATAACTATCCTTTCCACCAGTAACACAACAAAGATGAGGAATAGCACCAAAAACACACTCCACTTAAGCTTTATTGATGTATTGTTGAGTCTTAGAAAAACACATACAAAAATCACGATAAATAAAAATTTATGGGCACTTTTAGGTTAAAGCACTTACACAAAACGTAATATTTCGTGTTTTTTTATGAGAAACAGATTGACCATCATAGTAGCCATGTACCTGGTAGTACTTTATGTCACTGTAAACCTCAAAATAATTAAGTTTTTTTTTTTTTTTATTTAAGGAAAATTTACCGACAAAATATGAATACAGAATCTATGTATATAATATATGTATATATTATATACATGTATGTAACATGTATGTATATATATGTATATATATATATCAAATATGAATACCAATATCTAAGTATGTACAGCTGATGAAGTAAACAAAAGTCCGCCCGTGGGCTGATCTTTTATAGAGGGCATTGATTCATTTAACTGAGCATGCCTCACCTGAAGAAGTTTTCATTGGTCGATGTTTTTAAAGGGAAGTGGTTGACTGACATTTCCCCTAACCTTCAATTTTAATTTATATTTTTATTATTTATAACACATTATCGATGGGGTTGGAAAAAATATCAAAACAATAGTTGGAAACAATAAATTAAACAAAATCACTCTTTTACGCGCACAAATAAAAAGTAATCCAACAACGGCAACTAAAACAACAATCCATCGGAGTTTGGCGCAATCGCAGTTCAATCCATATCCGGGTGAAATAGACTTATGCAGTTTTAATATGGAGCTGGGTTATGTTGTCTTTTTCTTACGGCACAGAAATTGCACACGGGGTTAAATAGGGAACCCTGAGTATATTTGTAAAAAGTAATACGTATATGGGTAAAAATCGCTACGAGATAAAATCGCTACGCCCTAACCTAACCGTTCTCAAAATATTTAGAATGGAAATAGTCAATACATGTACGAGTAATGATTCTCGAGATATTTGGAATCGAAATTATCAATACCTGTCATCAGTGACATAAAATAAACATGTTGACTAAATAGTTATTAGACTAAAATCATAAATTTGAAATGTTTTTGTGCCAAAAGTTCGACAGAAACTCTTTTATCATCATTTTTTCGAAGAAAAATTTAGGATTAATTTAAAAAAATTAAAAGTTCCCAAATCTACCATTTCAGTCAAATAACTATCTACTCAACATGTTTATTTTATGTCAATAATGACATGTATTGACTATTTCCATTCTAAATATCTTGAGAATGGTTGCTCCTAACAATTTTTACCAAGTGACATTTTTTACGAAAAGAATTACGGAAATGTATATTTTTTCACTCAGTTGTTTTATACAGGTATGGAAAAAAAGTTACTACTATTAAAAACAATTAAAACACATGAAGGTGGCGCCCTCTACAAATAGGACTCATATTGACATCAACATCAAATTTCTCATGTCAAAAAACTCCCAGACATCAATTTTCAACCTAATATTGACGTTACTTCAGAAATTATTTGAAAAAAATCCAAATAAAAATGAACCTTTTACCACAGTTTAAAGAATATAAAATATATATATTTTATCTTCTTTAAACTGTGCTTCTACACTCTGTATCTCCGAAACTAAGAATTTTAGGACATACGTTTTTATACAAACTTTTTTACTTATTCTTATCGGCGGAATATGCTGCTGAAATTTCCGGAATACAGTTCGGGCGACCCTGTATATATTAGCTTTTTTCGTTTTCCTATTATTACCGATTCTGAACCGTCCTAGAATTGTGATGCGTATGCGCAGAAGGAAATATGAAGACATTATTTCATTTGCGCATGCGCTGGAGAGTTCTAGGACGATTCAGAATCGATAATAACAGGAAAACGAACAGACCTATTATGATTTAGGCACTACAAGAAACCGTAAAAGGGAAGAATCCACTTACCGTATATTTCTGTTTGCTCGTCAATCTTCTTCTTTTTGTCAAATATCTTACCCCATCCGATCGTAAAAATAATCCTGAGAAAATAGTTGACATCGAAGAAAATATAAAGCAGCAACAAGGCGGTGACTACAACGGTGTACAGGAGAAAAACATCTTCCATAGTATTGATTTTTTGTGACAAAAAACGAAGAAAAATGATTGTGAAAATAATGGTGAACGAAAAAATATCACTTTTATTCTATAGGATCGAAGTCTGCTTTAGCGAACGGTTCGTATCGACATGTATTACTGATGTACTGTTTACTACTTTTCCTATGGTTGGGTACACGTAGCAGTACCTTGAACCTGAAAACGGGTTCACGCAGGTTAACTGCTATTTGCAGTCGCCGCGCCGTAATGTTCGGTAAAACTTAAGTTAATTACGTTTACTAATTAAAAATCGATGTTTTGGGGACAAACATAAATTCAAAAGAAATTTTTTGAAATGGCAAACAGAGTATACCCGGTGCGTCTCAAACGTAGCTCACCCATATAACTTTTTTATATTTTCAGATAAAAAAAACAGATTTGGTATGTTAGTATTGTTACGTTTTTCCTCGGTTCCGTGTGGACAGAAAGTCACAATTTATTTAACACCAATTAACAAAAACAATAACGATAAAAGACTTAAAGAACTATTTACAAACGATTTATAACTATTTATCTAGAAAGAATTTATTTTGAATTTTAGCGCGTCAACTGTACTCGTCTATTTATGTCTGTCTTCTTTAGGCCCCAGCCGCCGGCTTTTATACCCACAGCTAAAGATTTCTCGAATAGTCCATAGATCGTTAAGTGCATAGAGAAGGTTTCGATTGTTCTCGTATGTACTACTCCATTTCAGTGGAACTCGATTCTTCTCGAACGAATGAATCACTACGGTGTCTATTCTTTAATGCGATGTTAAGGTCATCTGAGGGCGGGACATATAGTTAGGTTAGGTCGGGTCCACACGGGTCCGCAACCATATACGTATTACTTTTTACAAATATACTCAGGGTTCCCTATTTAACCCCGTGTGCCATTTCTGTGCCGTAAGAAAAAGACAACATAACCCAGCTCCATATTAAAACTGCATAAGTCTATTTCACCCGGATATGGATTGAACTACGATTGCGCCAAACTCCGATTGATTGTTGTTTTAGTTCTGTTTGGATTACTTTTTATTTGTGCGCGTAAAAGAGTGATTTTGTTTAGTTTATTGTTTTCAACTATTTTTTGATATTTTTCCAACTCCATGATAATGTGTTATAAATAATATAAAAATATAAATAAATTGAAGGTTAGGGGAAATGTCAGTCAACCACTTCCCTTTAAAGACATCGACCAATGAAAACTTCTTCAGGTGAGGCATGCTCAGTTAAATGAATATCCGGGTGAAATAGACTTATGCAGAATTCCATATTGTTCTTTCACTGTTTGGGCTTCACTTTTTGGAGATTAGGCTGAGTATATTTGTAAAAAGTAATACGTATATGTCCGCAACAGTATATGACAAAAATTATTATTAATTGACGTATTCAATTGTTTTCGATCACTTCCTGATTCACCGGAAATTATTACAACTTTTTATTTTTAAATGGCACCCTCGATATATTTTTACTTTATTCGATAGAAAATGACACTCTGAATAGAATGATATATCATACGTCAACTTTTGACATTTTTGCAAATGGATTATTTGAAGTTGAAACATGAGATTCGTAAAGACAATTTAACTCGAAATACCAAATGTGTGGTACCAAATTATTCGTAAAAATGTGTTTTTTCTAAATATGTTAAAGAGTCACCCTCGTTCCATTTGAAAAAATTGAGATATTAAAAATACGATTTGGGCATCTTTTTACCGGTCACGAAAAACACTGGACGATCAACTCTATTTTTCCAAGGCTCCTTGATTAAAAAAATAGTATTTTTAACATAGCCATTCTAGATTGGAATTTAAAATATATTTTTTTTGAGTGAAAATGTCAAAAGTTGACATATTATGATACATCATTCTATCATAGTATAAGGAAACTAGCAGTTTTACTCCTTGTCAAATCCTTTGTTCTTTTTCTGCCACTTTATATGACCTTGTTCTCGCCTCCCGTGACCACTGACGTAGCTGTATAGTCGTGGTATATTAACTAGGTAAAGTATAGTCGTAGCACTCGCCATAGTTTCACGTTCATCGATCCTGACGAATAAATGAATTTTACAAATGAATGAATTTTATAAATGAATGGTTTTTGCTGCCGAATTAATATATTTCAAGGCAGATGACGCATCTATTCGATATTTTTATTCGAATAGTTTTCGACGAATGTTTTCTTACTAGCTATCGAATTATTCGAATGAATTGCAACTATCGAATGTTTCGATAGTATTCATTCGATAGTTCCCACTACTAGTATAAGGTGTTCCATTACAAAAAAAACACCACTTTGATGCGTAACTTTTTTTGGGGACACCCTGTAGAATTCTATATGTTTTTCTCTATAAATTTTATTTCAATACAAACTGTCGTTCTCCTTAAAGCCTACGCGTCGTATAAGAAGCACCACCCTGTATTTAATAACTACATATTTATTGAATAAAACTATTTCAAATTCCATTTAAATTTAATTTTCAATCATATATAGAGTAAGTTTCAGGTATAGTTAGATAAATTATATTAAATAATACTTAAATTGGTTCCCTTTCTGCGATTTTTCATATGGGCTTCCGCAATTTTTGCAAAAGCTTCTCTCCCAATGAGCCTGTAATTTGAGGCTAAGAATCTCGCTATAGTGCCATTCAAAGTCTCGACACCATGGGCTAAAATATCTTGACCCAGTTCGATACCAGTTCCAAAATCACATTCGTCCGTAGCTATTGAAGCATTGGTTAAAACAAGCTGCAAGTCTGAGAGAAATTTTTGTCTTTCTTCAGGCCTAGACTTCTGAATATTATCAAGTATTTTCGTTAGTTCTTTGTTTGTAACTGCCAAATCTCTATAACCTGTTTGAGTTCTACACAGAGAAAAAATATATGTTATTAATAAAAAATAAAAACGGTAATTATTGAGAAAACTGGAAATCGTCCGATTTTCACCAAAATTGGTATACACCCTATTTTGAGGTCGTAGATTACGAATCTGAACTTTTTTTGTGGCGGTCTCTTACCGTTTTTCAGAAAAACGAAAAACTATTTCAACGTTGATTTTTTCTTTATTTCGGCCCTATAAAGTAATAATTTCACTATATTTTCATTATATTATAGTTTATCTAAAAGCCACACTTGATTGGGGATAGAAAAATGTCCAAAATTTTACTGAAAAACACTTTTCTTAACAAAATAACAAAGAAAATTGAAACCAGATGGAAGATGGAAGTTTGACATTTGATATATCCTTCATTCTCTCTCCTATGTAATGAGAGAGACAAATATATTCCAGACCTAATCTAGAAATTTGAAAATTTACAACGTTGCTATATCTTCTATTTTTTCGGGTGATTAGGGATTTTAAATAAATTACCTATTATGAATCGACAATAATTATATACCTACCTATATCCACAAAGTTACGCGGAAGAGTTTTGATTGCATTGGTTTTCAACTTCTATGCAGAGGGGGTTAATCATTTTTTTTTTGTTATATTATATTTATAACCACGAAGTTGCACGAAAGCGTTTTGATTGCATTGGTTACAACTTCCATGCGGAGGGTGTTAATCTTTTGTTGTTATATTATATCAAAAAAAGATTAACCCCCTCCGCAAAGAAGTTATATAAAGACTATTTATAACCATGAAGTTGCACGAAAGAGTTTTGATTGCATTGGTTTCAACTTCTATGCAGAGGGGGTTAATCTTTTTTTTTGTTATATTATATTTATAACCACGAAGTTGCACGAAAGCGTTTTGATTGCATTGGTTACAACTTCCATGCGGAGGGTGTTAATCTTTTGTTGTTATATTATATCAAAAAAAGATTAACCCCCTCCGCAAAGCAGTTATATAAAGACAAAGATAAAGACTATTTATAACCACGAAGTTGCACGAAAGTTTTGATTGCATTGGTTTTAACTTCTTTGCGGAGGGGGTTAATCTTTTTTTGATATAATATAACAACAAAAGATTAACACCCTCCGCATGGAAGTTGTAACTGTAACCAATGCAATCAAAACCCTTTCGTGCAACTTCGTGGTTATAGTAGTAGTTTGCGAAGAGGAAATTAATCTCTCTTCATTGGCTTGGATCCTTTTCGTCCCATTAGCCAGCTCATTATTTAGATTCCCAATCGTCTGGCTTCGTGGTTATAAATAGTCAGATCTCGTTGGTAAAATAGCAATTAGGGGAAGGAGCCGTTCTTCTGGCGACCGCCTTTCGTAATCCCAGAATGAGCGAAAAAACACGCTAAATTTAAGTTTAGCATTGGCAACGTTGCTTTAAATGCCAGAAACACATAACCCAATATCTTCAGATTGTTTACAAATTTATTTTAGCAAATTTTCCTCTATTATGCATAAATTTGGTTAAAAAAGTAACAGAAAATAGCAATAACATCATTGTTTATGTTTATGTTATGAGAAATTAAGAAAAATTCGATGCTTAAATAATTTTCCGTTTTTTTGAAAAACGGTAAGAGACCGCCAAGAAAAAAGTTCAGATTCGTAATCTACAACCTCAAAGTAGGGTGTATACCAATTTTGGTGAAAATCTGATAATTTCCAGTTTTCCTAATAAAAAAAAAATAAAAACATTTTAATATAACCTACTTTCTATTATATGGTATAACAATTCCTATCTTGTTGAAACTTCTTGTAACAATTTTTTTGTCCCTATCCTTGATCTTTTGAGTACGTTCAGATAAATCCAACTTCAGTTCCTGTGCCCTTTTTTGTAGGGCACTCTGAATCTTGTGTACATTCATCTTTTTAAATGGATCACCAGATTTTTTCACATCATCTAAATATAAACTAAAACATTTGTAACTACAAAGAAAATTACAAATCTTATTTTACTCACTTAACAGCAGCGAATATATTATCACCAGTAACCTTTAAAATGCCATCGACATTGGCAGAATTACTGGCAAGAAATACAGGTAGCTCACTTGGTGAATCTCTGAAATATCCTATATGATATCCAGTCTTATCATCTGCTTTTAATACTGTTTGAAATTCAGGAGGGTCAGAATAAAATCGCCAATGAATTAAATACATTGTTTCAGGCTTATCCACAATACCATTAAATTTTCCAGCCAGTACATCGTATGGCCCGACAAGAGTTAATCCTATATTTTTCAAGGCCTCTTCTGGTTTATTCGGTTTGAGACTTTTACAAAAGTCCCAAAAAGCATAAAAGTCTGTTGGCATTTCAACAAGAAATTTCTTTTGTATAAAATCCTTGGGATCTAAATCTTTTGGTGTTGTGGTAATATCGGAATCGATTAAATCTTGAAATGCCTCAAGAAATTCATGCTGATTGGGAGTATTAAGGTCTGGCATCTGTGTATCGCTAATTTCTGTATTTGCTTCATTTTGTGTTTTAACGGTTTCTTTAACTTTATTTATTTCTTCTTTTTTAGTAGGGTCAACGTCCAGTTTAATTCTTTTAGGTGAATTTGTAGGTTCTCCATTGTTATGTTTCTAGAATAGAGTAGTATACACATTTATAGGGTGTAAATGAGTGTAAAAAAATTGGAAAAGTGATTGCAGATCCTCCAGAATTTTTTCACTTTTCTACTACATGTTGCTAAATAATTTGTTCTTTTACCTTTTGAGGGGGATGTTTATATTTTTGATGGTGTATTGGATTCTGCTGATAGCACTTTGTGCCATATTTACATGCTATTCTAGAATCACGTTCGTATTTTTGTTCCAAACCATCAGTGCGCCCTTTATCGCCCATGTTAAACGAAAATTTAGTTTAAATTTGTTAAATCTATACGCATTCACAAAAAAATTAGTTCTAGCTCTGGTTCTAGTAATCTAAACATATATCTATAAAGAACTACACAAAATTTAAATTTGCTTTATATCAATCAGATTAAAATATAAAAACAAAACAATGAAATCAGATGATATTTTGAATATTTTAAGGTTAAGACCAGTTAAGACGGTTGTCAAAGGTAGGCAACTAAATATACACATGATCAAGGGATGAAAAAATAAGAAAACGAAAAAATAATAATTTCTTAAGGGTTTTCTATAGCTAATTTATTGATACAAGCAATTCTAGAACATTAACAATAATTTCTTTAGTAATATATTGTCCTACACATTAAAAATTTAAGATCCCCAAATTGTTTATATAATAAAGAGCTGAATCAGCCTTGATTCGCAACCGAAATACACGTAACTCTATTGCAACATTTAAAAAACCATTTAAGCCATAAATTATTAATGAACTTATTTTGGTAAGATTCAGTTAGCATCATGCATGTTGAGTATGTTATTCTATATGTACAGATGGTTTATTAATAAAAAGAGCTTGTTAATGATAGCAAAATAATAGTATGATACACATAATATATATTGACATATTTTTTATTTATACTTTAAGTTATACAGGTTTTTAAAATTTACGAAAATACTGTTAGTGCACAATTAGTTATTTCACGAAGTTAATTATTTTTAACAGACAGGTAAGTTGTTTTAAATAATTGTTTTTATTAAGAATCGTATAAACATTTTTTAATCATCCTGCACGTACATGGAAGTAATTCTAAAAATTGCTTTATTTTGATATTTCTATATATGTATATCACAAAAATAAAAATAGCTAGAGTCGATAGGATGCACTTTTTAATTCGAGAGTCAAAATATAACTATGTAGTTTATAGCTGGGACATTAGCAACATCATTAGTTTATAAGTCATTTATCATTAGTATTAATTATTAGTAATAATCACATTAGATTATAATAACAACAACTAACCGTACGATTGAATAAAAACGGCGTCAGCGATGGCTATGAAATGAAAATCGCTGTCATTTTTTTTATATGTAAAATTATATGGGAAATGAATCATTTCCAAGCTAACTGGACGCCGTTTTTTTTTCGATCGTACAAAAAATGTAGTAAATACTAGGAACATTTTACGGAAAAAAAATCAGTCGTCGGTGGAATATTTTTACTAAAATTTGTGTAGGGGTGGGGTAGTTTATTGACCCTTCGTATATTTTTTCTTTTGAAAATCAAATGATAAAGTGCTTAAAAAAACATAAGCACCCCAAAGGGTATAGCCGGATTAATATGGGAAATCTGCCCCGCGGCTTTTTTGTCAAAATAATTCACCTAAATTTTTAGCTCTTTGACTCAAACGGTTATCGAGATTTTCAAAAAACTTTAACTTTCTCAAATATGTCACTCACTAAAAATCGTCAGAAAATGTCTATTATACACTCAGGAATTTTTTAGAATTTTTTGAAGTGGTGAAAAATTAAAAACTCATTTTTTTCTAAAATCTTCTGTTTTACCACAGGTTTTACCTAACTTATATTTTTGTTTGGTTTAAAAAATTGCGTAGAAAATATTTTTTCATTAAAAATACATCCTTGTCAGAAATAAACATACAGATTATTATCAAAAAATGAGTCCGAGATTTTAGAAAAAAACGAGTTTTTAATTTTTTTCATATTGTTCCACCATTTCAAAAAATTCTAAAAAATTCCTGAGTGTAAAAAAGTATAAAATACATTTTCTGGCGATTTTTAATGAGTGACATATTTCACAAAGTTTAAAAAAATGAAGATTTTAATTTTCTTTCCTCCGCTAAAAATCGGCTTTTCGTTTAAGAATCATGATCATATTATTTTTTCATGTCTTGAAAAAAATCATCATTAATTAATTTTGAATTTTACTATAAAAATAAAATTGAAAAAACATTTTTTTTTTGAAAATCCCGAAAACTGTTTAATTTAGGTGCGAGTCAAAAAAGCCGCGGGGTAGATTTCCCCATATTAATCCGGCTATACCCTTTCAATAAAATCGGTTAGGTTGTACTTTTATATAGAGGAAAATTATGTCCAATGAACTTATTATTTTTATTTCAAAAATACGTAGTAGTTCTATGTCTACGGAATATTTAAACACCCTGTATCATTTAATGAGAAAAATACAACTGCTTTGCTGCTAAAAATACACCTTACATATACAATAACTATTTTTAATTTTTAATTGCTTTGATTTCATTTTCATAAGAAAAATGTCTCTTCATAATCCATCTATTCGAGAGCCTTTCATGTCGGTTAAATGATCAAGTGCAGAAGGAAATCAAAAGCAATACCCACATGTCCCCGTTTAAACCAGTTTTTTTAGTGAACCACTTTTATTATTGTTCTTTATAACATCATTTGTGGTTTTATGAGATGAGAATGTGTACTTTCTTTTTTTTATATTTTGGTTAAATACTTCCATTCTTCAATTTTTTAATATCTTGGAGATATGTTTTGCACAAGAATACAGTTTTTTTTTTCTACATTTATACCAATGATATGAGAAATTTGACGCTACCTACATATTTTTTAACTGGTTTGAAGAGTAATAACTTTTCATCCGTACCTGTATAAAAGTACTGAGTAAAAAATATACATTAACGACGTTTCTTACGTAAAAAATGTCTCTTGGTAAAAATCGCTACGAGCAATTGTTCTCAAGATATTTAGAATAAAATTAATCAATACATGTCATTATTGAGAAAAAATAAACATATGTTGAGTAGATTTGAGTTATTTGACTGAAATGATAAATTTGGGAATTGTTATTTTTTCTAAATTAATCATAAATTTCTCTTTTTTCTTCGAAAAAATGATGATAAAACAATTTCTATTGAACTTTTTCTTTTCGAACATTATTGAACTTTATCGAACATTATTTCAAATTTATGATTTCAGTCATCTAATAACTACCGTATGATCGAATAAAAACGGCGTCAGCGATGGCTATGAAATGACGATCGATGATATTTCCCATATAATTTTACATATAAAATGACAGCGATCTTCATTTCATAGCCATCGCTGACGCCGTTTTTATTCGATTATACGGTATTCAGTCGACACGTTTATGTTAATGATGATAGGTATTGATAATTTAGATTCCAAATATCTCGAGAACCATTATTCGTAGCGATTTAATTTTTTAAGTAAAAAAATATCGTAAATATATATTTTTTTACTCAGTAGTTTTATACAGGTACGGACGAAAAGTTGTCAACAAAGTCTTCAAACCAGTTAAAAAATATGTAGGTGGTGTCCTCTACAAGTAGGAGTCATAGTGACATCAAAATCAAATTTCTCATGTCAAAAAACTTCCAGATACCAATTTTCATCCAAATATTGAGTTTACTTCAGAATTTAATTGGAAAAAATCGAAATAAAAATGAAACTTCTCACCATGTATCTCCGAAACAAAACATTTTAGACATATGTACATTTATATGAACTTTTTTAATTATTTTTATTTGCAGAATTTTCCATTTTTTTTCATTCCATACATTTTTCTATTAGTAAGAAAAATATAAGTAATTTGAATTCAATTATTTTAATAAATACAGGGTGTCCAAGAAATAAGTGCAAATATTTTAACTGGTAGTATAGTTCAACCCCACAAACACGCCTATGATGGTTTTTTCGGGATTTTTTTTTTTAAAAATTCGAAACTTTTTGAAAAATTTTTTGGATTTTTTTTTTAGTTTTTAGTAAAAAACATAATTTCTTGATAATATGGCAACATAGGTATTAGATTGAATTTACAAGAAAGAAAATCCAGAAAAGATCCAGTGGTTCTCAAAATTTTAACAAAAAAAATTTTTTTTAGAAATTTTCAAAGTAAAATAACTCCGTTATTTTGGACTTATTTGAAAAACGATAAAGGGAAAATATGTTTCTTTTATCGAGATCCACCAGCCCTTAAAATACTTGCACTTATTTCTGGGACACCCGGTATATTGAGAAATTTTAATTTATTATAGGAGATCTTAGGATAAGGGATGCGACGCGTCACCCGTATCAATGGAAGCTTCGCTGCTGTATACCGAACATTATAATAGTTGATACTCAGTTTTGTTGTATACCCATTGTACCTATGACCGAGACCACACCCTCTTGTGTGTTGATATTATTATATCCCCATATGAAGTAGATGAATTATTCAAGTTAAAAATGATATAAATTACTGTTATATAAGTTACTGATGGAAGATTTTTTGTTATTGGACTACAAATGTTGTCTATAATGATATGTGGTACTTTGGTGAAATGGGAATTCTTTTCACTAATCTAAATTATATAAAGAATGGAAAAATTCTTAATGTTGTAATGCCCGCTAAGGTTGTTATGAAAGCTGCCCAAAAATATTCATGAGGTGCGTCGGAAGTAGGAATTTAGTGCAGAAGTCAACGATTTATTTATTTTTCAGAAAGATGTAAACATATACCTACCTATTAGAAGAACGCTAATTACTAAAATCTAAAATTTATCTTCAAAATAATTATGTTTCTTGTAATTAAGATTACACGATTACAAAGTTTGACTCACTAAACGAAAGTAATAAAAAATGCCTAAATGTCATAGGATACAAAAAGATGAGAAATTGCAACAAAATTGTTTTGTAATAGTTATACAGAGTGGTCCGAACTGTATTCCGGAAACTCGGAAATTCCGAAAACATATAAATGTATGCCCTAAAATGCTTAGTTTCGGAGATAGAGAGTGTAGAAATTTCATTTTTTATTTCGATTTTTTCCAAATAATTTATGAATTAACGTCAATATTTGGATGAAAATTGGCGTCTGGGAGTTTTTTTGACATGAGAAATTTGATTTTGATGTCAATATTAATCCTGCGCGTAGAGGGAGCAACCGACACATTTTTTAACTGGTTTGAAGGCTAATAACTTTTCGTTCGTACTTGTATAAAACTACTGAGTAAAAAAATATACATTTACGACGTTTTTTACGCGAAAAAGGTCTCTTGGTAAAAATCGCTACGAGTAATGGTTCTCGAGATATTTGGAAGTCAAGGTGATCAATCTTCTCTAGGAAGTCAAGGTGATCAATACCCATGGTACAAGAATACAAGGTATGATATTGCGCAGGTTGGTCACTACGTCACAGGTGATATAAACGGCACCATTGGTCGGCAAGCTCTGCGCGCCAATTTCAAATTGTCAAACAGATTGTGTCATCTGTGAAATTTGATTGTGTCAAAATGTGAAAATAATTTTTTTAATTCGATGTCAAAACATAACTTTTGGGGTTATGTCCTAATTCTTCCCTATTTTAGGTCTTTTTTTTATTAGTGGTAATTGAAATGGATATTTTTTTGTATGGCGTATGACGTCACAGGTGGTATGCGCAAACTTAACGAAATTGGAGCCGCTATCGATCATACATTGTTTTCTTTGTACCATGATCAATACCTGTCATCATTGACATAACCAACAAACATATTTACTAAATAGTTATTAGACTGAAACTAGTTACCTTTACTAACTGAATAGTTACCTTTACCAAGAGACATTTTTTACGTAAAAAGTCACGGAAATGTATATTTTTTCACTCAATAGCTTTATACAGGTACGAACGAAAAGTTATTACTCTTCAAATCAGTTAAAACACATGTACGTGGCTAAGGTGGCGCCCCCTACAAATAGGAGTCTCCCAGACGCCAATTTTGATCCAAATATTGACGTTACTACAGAAATTATTTGGAAAAGTTCCACACCCTGTATCTCCGAAACTAAGCATTTTAGGACATACACTTATACAAACTTTTTTACTTATTTTTATCTGCAGAATATGCTGCCGAAGTTTCCGAAATACAGTTCGGACCACCCTGTATAGTGTATCTTCTTGGGTTTAACATAAAAATTTCAATTTAAACTACACTGCTTATACGTATAAAGCTTCTTTATTGTTTATTAAAGTGACAAAATATTCTGAAAAATATTAGTCGGGTATGGTGAAATAAAAATATAAGAACATTGAAAATTATGAAATACTATGTCACGATGTATGACTTACTATTTATAAATTCGGAGAAAATGAACTTTTATTTTATTTTTAAACGTTTGACTCATAAGTTATTAAATTTTAAAATGCATTTGTCCGTAATAGCATCTGATCGAAAAAAAACGGCGTCAAAGACGGCTGGAGAATGACAATCTGAGATGATAATTTTTGGCGAGGTCAGTCTCTAGACGTCAATTTCTATGTCAATCTTTAGTAAATGACGTCTAGGGCTTGACCTCACCAAAATTATCATCGATTGTCATTGTCCAACCGTCTTTGACTTGTTTCTTCCCATTATACGGTATGTGTTTGTGTTTAGTGAATTTTTCAGGCATCAATGGCATTTTTTTCAATCAAGATTATAACCTCAGATGCAAAAAACGTCATATTTATATTTTAAAAAGTGTTAATATAAAATATTTTTATATTTAAATCCCTATTTTCATGAATTTTTCGGCAAACTGTGTATAAATATTAGGGTGTCTGTTATTTACAGAGTTGATCATTTCTCTCACGACGCCCTCGAAATATTTAGTTTATTGTCTAAAAAAAATAACTATGTAATAGTATGGGAGGGGGTTAAAAATTTAAAAAAATCGTAACTCCGAAATACAGTAGCTAGCAAAACGCGGTTTTCAATTTAAGATTAGGTATAATATTTGCAAAAAAATTTGTAATAACATCAAAATCATCTAAAATCTTAAATAACTTAAAAACGATTTATTTTAGGTATAGGAACATGTATATCAAAAACTAATGAATTAAAAAAAAAATAATCGCTCAATTCCATGACAGCTACGGCCAATATTATATAACATTTAAACAATTTAATTTTTGAAATAGAATAGCCACATGTCTTCTCTAAATTTGCCCTTTAGGCTATACATATTTTTTTGACTAACAGTTTTTTCCTCCAAAAATTTTTAATATTTTTTTTCAAAAAAACACTTAATGTTAGGTAGAGAGTTGTTGATATCAAAATTCATAAAATTTTACAGAGAATTTAAGTATGTAATAAAAAATGGGAGAACCCATTTAAAATAAGAAAGTTGCTGTCAACTTCCGGTATATCCGGAAGTAGCGCCATATTGAAAGTATTTTTAATCGATAGATCTCGTTGTGAAACAGTAATGTGCAAAAAATTTCCGATTTAGATATTGTAGTTCATTAGAAACTTCTAATGCACGCTCAGCCTGGGACACCCTGTGTACAATTTGGTAAAAGAATCATGAAAATAGGGCTAAAACTAAAAACAATATTTTTAGCCCTTAACATTTTAAACTAGATCAAAAAATTTTTCGTTGCGTTTTTTTACATTTGAGCGTATTCGTATTTTATCAATAAATTTATCATAAGTATGCATTTTCTTTATGAATGCATACTTATTAATTACACATAGATGAAAAATTAACTAGCATCTAAAGTCTAATAGTTATATTAGAAAAAAAAAACAATTAAGAGGTAAATTAAAATATCAATAGCAAGCCCACGTGAAAATTCGTTGGCGCAGACGCTTTTTGGAATAAAAACATCGCGTTTGTCAATATCCCCATAAATATCAGCGCCCGTAAAAGTCATCCGGTATTTTTTCTTGCGCTGTTAAATAATAAAATTGCTAAATCAAAGTGTTTCAGGACCACAACAGTTGCAGCTGTATAGAAGACACATACAGGGCAGCCCGTTAGTTAGATGTATCAAGACTGCAAGAAACATCAACAAAAATGAGGATTGAATTTGAAAAAATAGAAGAAAAATGATCGATATTTGTTCGCTGGTGCTCAGTTTGGCGGGGTTGGTGGTCGGATTCTACTTTTTGATCGAGTTACATTATTTTCTGAGGATTTTGTTGTGTGTGGTCGGTGCCAAATTCTTCAAAAAGAGGAAATTTATTTTGGACAAAACACTAATTACCGGTAAGTTGAATACTTTTTTTTGAAATATATTTGTTATTTTTTTTGAAAAATAAATATGTCATCAGTTAGAAAAAGTCTTAGTTTTATGCTCAAAAAAATAGGGTTGTTTAAAAAAAAGTTTTTATTACCATATACGTTTTCGACAGAGTACAGAGAGTGATAAGTTCAATTCGCATTTATATCAATATACCGGGTGTTTCTCAAAAGTGGCTCTATAACCCCTGTAACTTTTTTTTTATTTTTTCAGATAAAAAACGAGATTTGGTATGTTAGTACATATATGGCATAAATTAGGATTGATTGACGTATTCAATTGTTTTCGATCACTTCCTGTTTCATCGGAAATGACTACAATTTTTGTTTTTTAAATGTCACCCTCGATATTTTGTCACTTCATTTGATAAAAAATGACTCTGAATAGAATAACAGAACATATGTCAAGTTTTGATATTTTCAATTTAAAAAAAAATGCATTTTCAACTTCTATTTAGAGGGCCATAGCACAGAATATCTAGCTACGCAACAGAAAAATACTCGAAATGAAAGAGCTAAAATTGCACAAATAGAATACTAGATGGCGCGACAATATCATAATCAGAATATAATTAGAAATTTTGAACTTTCGGTTTTGGATCGACGGATCGTCGACGGCCTTGTAGCTCGGCTAAATATGCACAGTTGCCAGGTTCAAAAAGACTTGAATTGACATCCCATTCTTTTTATTGTGTATAAAGCAGTATGTGTTTCTTTCTATTCTTCTTTTCTTGTCAGATACACTTATATAAATTATTCCTTTGGCTATTAAAATAGTTTTAAGTATATTATTACAAAACATATACATTTTTAATATACACTACCCTAATAATGTTAACTAAGAAAATACCTTTTAATTACCTTTTAAAATTAATAATACATATAGAGGGCGATTGATAGTGATATTTATTAATGCTGAACGTTAGTAATGAAATATAAGTTTAATAATAATGGAAATAATTTATTAAAATGCAGTACAAAAAATGTTAACTGACTAAAAATACTATAATAACAAATTTCTTCCGTTTGCCACGTGATTTATATAGACTAGGTAGATTTTAAAAAGTGACACAGGTACAATTAATAATATATTAGTTCGGCATAAAAGTTGCTGTCACGACATCGAACAATAAATTAAAATTCGTAAAATAAATTAAAATTATTATTAATTAAACAAATCTTTTATAAAGAAACGCAAGTATACCAAATTTGGGCCCAATCGAACTCCAGGAGATGATATCATAATAGTGTACTATATTATGGTACCACTCGATGTGCTTAAAGGTACCATAATATTGCAATGTCACCGAAGATCCGTAGTATATCAAATTTAAGAACAATCGAACGCCAGGAAATGGTATCGTAATATGGTACTATATTAAGGTACCACTTTATATGCATAGTATCATATTACATCAATGTCACCGAAAATACGTAGTATCCGAAGTTTAAGCCCAATCGAACGCCATGTACGTAATATAGTATTTCATATTATGGTACCAGCTGATATGCTTCATGGTACCATAATAATGCAATGTCGTCAAAAAATACACACAAGTATATATCAAATATGAGCTCAATCGAACTGCCAGGAAATGGTATTGAAATATGGTACTATTTTAAAGTACTCCACTTTATATGCATCATAGTACCATCATATTACAATGTCACTGAAAATACGTAGTATACCAAGTTTAAGCCCTATTGCCGCCATGTACCTAATATTGCTATGTCATCAAATATGGTACTATAGAAGGTACCACTTTATATGCTCCATGGTACCATAATATTACAATGTCACTGAAGATATAGTATACCGAGTTTAAGCCCAATCGAACGCTATGTATCGTAATATGGTACTATATTATGATATCACTTGATATGCTTCATGGTACCATAATATTGTAATGTCATGAAATATAAGTATATATCAAATACCGTATGATACCGAAAAAAACGGCATCCAGTTGGCTGGAAAAGGACGATCGATGACATTTCCCATATAAATTTACATATAAAATGACAGCGATATTCGTAGCCATCGCTAACGCCGTTTTTTCCCGATTATACGATATGAACTTGGTATGAATACAATCGAACGTCAGGAAGTGGTATCATAATACATACATATACAGTAGAACAACACTTATTATATTGTCGCCGAATTACAATGAAAATTCAGGATTCAATTATACAATCAAACGTCAGGAAGTGATTGTAATTTAGCTAATAAGATTTAATTCCAACTAACATGGCAAATTGAAAAAAACAGCTCTGATCTACTTTAATATGTTTAAATGATGTAGCAAATTTGAAGGTAGGCTTTAGATTGTGAAGTATTACGATATGAATTACATTAATGGCAATACTGCACAAAATTCTTTTAAATTTTGTTTGTAGAAAACTGTTTTCTTTTAAATTTATTGCCCTCTATTATGTAGTAGCGAAACTACCGCATCAAAATATCTGATTTGGAGACAGGCTTTAAAAGCCTGTCTCCTTTTGCTACCTACAATTTTATACATGTAACGAGGCTTCTGTTGCGTAGCTAGATATTCTGTGGCCATAGTCATAAATGTAACTAGAATTTGACTCGAAATACCGGCGTATGATCGAAAAAAAACAGCGTCAGTGATGGCTATGAAATGCAGATTGGTGTCATTTTATAGGTAAAATTATACAGGGACTGTCATCGATCGTCATTTCCAAGCTAACTGGACGCCGTTTTTATTTCGATCATACGGTACCAGGTGTGTGGTACCCAATTATTCGTAAAAAATGCTTTTTAAAATATTCTAATGAACCACCCTCGTTTCATTTGAAAAAATTGAGTTATGATTAAAAACACGATTTGGACATCTTTTAACCGGCCAGGACAGGACACGAAAAACATTAGACTATCAAATTTATTTTTCCAAGACTCTTTGATTAAAAATTAGTGTGTTTAACACAGCCATGGTACTCTAGCTAGATTGATATTTAAAATACATTTTTTAAGCGAGAATGTCAAAAGTTTACAATTGATATGTCATTATATTCAGATTGTCATTTTCTATCGATTAAGGTAAAAAATACCGAGGGTGTCATTTAAAAATCAAAAGTTGTATTAATTTCCGGTAAAACAGGAAGTGACCGAAAACAATTGAATACGTCAATCAACCCTGATTTATGTCATAGACTAACGTACCAAATCTTGTTTATTATTTGGGTAAGCCATATTCTACAAATACCCGGTATAATGAACAATAAGTATTTAATATCTAATTACAATAAAACAAGCACTTACCTATATATAACTTCATTTACCTATAATAACTTCGTTTTATAAGGAAAAATGCTTTATTTTTATATTAAAATGCTATTTTTTATATTAAAATGTTCGGAATACCTAAAAAACTTAAAATTATGCTTCTTCAAAATTCGCCAAACAGTGGTACCATGCTTTTCGACATTTGTTTTTTTATCAACTTTTCATTTATTATTTTTCAATGATCCTTATCAATACTATCCTTCTTTTTATATACAGGGTCCGGCAATAGTGCGTCGGGCATCTGTAGCTCCTAGAATAAAAAAAACTTGAGAATTTTGTTTAAGTGCAGGCCTAAAGTATGTACCAGGATGAATTTCAGGAAAATATTTAACTTATAGGTAGCAAGTGTGCATGGATCGATGATTTTTTAATGGAACACTTGCAGATATTGTATTTTGGTTCAGATTTACATAATCCTAAGATATGAGTAATCTATTTCGATAGTTTCAAAGATATTAATAAATAAATCAAAATATACATTTTTTCATCCCCTTCTTAAAAAAATAGTTGTAATACAAGAACTGTTCTGAAATCAAAACTATATTAGATATTTACTTTAGATGATCTGTTCTTACTTTGCTATAAATATGGTAATCGTAAATCATACAGGATGTTCAATATTTTACGCCAAACTTTCAAAAATATAAAATAATTTTTCTTGATTTTTTTAAATGGAAGACCCTGTATATTACTTTTTTGTTTGATGGAGAATTAAAAACGAACACTTTTTGGATTTAAAGTATTTCAAAAATTTTAATAGTTTTTCGGATACACGCAATATTATTTCATATGGCGCTTTCAATGGTAAAATACGAAAGAAAAATCATTGGGTGGCTTTGATAAAAATTTACTGTGGAAAATGCCATATGAAATACAAAACCGGGAATGTCTGCGAAACCGTTAACATTTTTGAAACGCTAAATGCAAAAAATGTTCATTTTTTAATTCTCCATCTATTGAAAAAATAATATACAGGGTGTTCCATTTAAAAAAACAAAGTAAAATTATTTTATATTTTAGAAAGTTTAGCGTAGAATTTTGAACATCCGGTATAATTTACGATTTTCATATTTATAGGAAAGTAAGTTCATACCATCTAAAGTAAATATCTAATATAGTTTTGATTTCAGAACAGTTCTTGTATTATTAATAATTTTTTTTAAGAATTGCAGAAAAATATATAATTTTTATTTATTTATTAATATCTCAGAAATTATCGAAATATAATTACTCATGTCTTAGGATTATGTAAAGTGATCTGAAAGGAAGCCAAAAATGCAATAATATACAGGGTGTTCCATTTAAAAAAAATCATCCCGATCCACTGACACTTTTTTGAGCCACCCTATAGAAGTTAAAATATTTTCCTGAAATACATCCTAGTACATACTTTAAGTTTACCCGACGCACTATTGCCGGACCCTGTATATATAGTTTTTAATAACTGCTCCTGTTGCTTCAAACTTCAAATCCTTAAAAAAATGGCTTTTACCATATAAATAAAAGGATTTCTTTTTTGCATTTCAGGTATTTGTTTGTCTACAGATATCGACTACTACTTAAATCATATGAACAATGCTAGATACCTCAGAGAGTTGGATTTTGCCAAAATAGACTTCTATGAAAGGACTGGCTTATATAGGAATATAGTTGCTAAAGGTGGATCCCTGTTTGCTGGTGCTACAACTATCAGATATAGAAGATTTATTAGAGTATTTAGTAGATACCAAATAAGTACAAAGGTAGTGTATACACCATCATTATTTTTTAAGGATAGCACTATAATACCACAGATAAATATTCTACAGGGTGGTCCGAACTGTATTTCGGAAACTTCGGCAGCATATTCTGCAGATAAAAATAAGTAAAAAAGTTCGTAGAAATTTATGTCGTAAAATACCTAGTTTTGAGATTGAGGGTGTAGAAGTTTTATTTAGTTCGGATTTTTTCCATATTCACTGAAGTAACGTCAATATTTGATGAAAAATTGGTGGATGGGTGTTTTTGGACATGGGAAATTTGATTTTGATGTCAATAAGACTTCCCATTTGTAGGGAAAGCCTACATGTAGCTTTATCGTTTTGAAGAGCAATAACTTTTCGGTTTAACTGTATAAAACTACTGAGTAAAAAAAATATACATTTACGACTTTTTACATAAAAGCGTCTTTGTGTAAAAATCGCTACGAGTAATGGTTCTCGAGATATTTGGAATCGAAATTCTCAATACCGGTCATCATTGACATAAATTAAACATGTTGATTAAATAGTTATTAGACTGAAATCATAAATTTGAAATCTTTTTGTGTCAAAAGTTCAACAGAAACTGTCTAGTCATCATTTTTTCGCAGCAAAACTTATGATTAATTTAAAAAAATAAAAATTTATTATTTCAGTCAAATAATAATTATACTCAACGTGTTTATTTTTTGTCAATAATGACATGTATTGACTATTTCCATTCTAAATATCTTGAGAACGGTTGCTCGTAGCGATTTTTGCCAAGAGACATTTTTTACATAAAAAGTCTATGGACATAAAATGGAAATGTATATTTTTTTAGTCAGTGGTTTCATACAGGTACGGACGAAAAGTTACTACTCTTCAAAACTGTTAAAACACATGTAGGAAGCGCCCCCTACAAATAGAAGTAATTTTGATATTAAAATCAAATTTCTCGTGTCACAAAACTCCCAGACCCCAATTTTCATCCAAATATTGACGTTACTTCAGAAATTATTTGGAAAAAATCGAAATAAAAAACAAACTTCTACACCCTGTATCTCCGAAACTTGCCGAAACTAAGCATTTTAGGACATACATTTATACGAACTTTTTTACTTATTTTTATCTGTAGAATATGCTGCCGAAGTTTCCGGAATACAATTCGGCCCACCCTGTATACTCCCTGGTACAAAATTCAGCCACCCTAAAATTTGACTTAAGTTTGATGTTTCATATCTTCTTACTTTGTAATCAGATTTTTATGATTATAGTATCAGTGTGAAGATAAATTTATTGGCATTATTTTTTATTTTTTCAATGGCTTATATTTTTGGTTAAGTGGGTTTATACCGGGGTAAATCAAAACGTTGTTTCTTGCAACAAATTCGAAACACCCTGTGGAAAAATGAGACGGGCATTTTGGATAAAAAACACTTTTCTGCAATCTTAGATGTATTCCTAACATTTCATTTTTTGAATTATCCCATTATCTCTATTTTTTTATGAGCTACACATTTTTAAGTAAAATATTGAATTTATATACAGGGTGTCCCACTTAAGATGGATACAAGCCAATATCTTGATTGATTGTTGAGCGATCATTCTCATTTTTGGCAGGAGGCTGTATGGCTATAAGACGTACATTTTGCTCTGGGTAAGAAATGCGATACCTCATAGACGTACGTTTTAATGGGGTTTGATATTTTTCGAGTCAAGAGTAAACTACCCTTAGGACAGTATTTATTTCAAATCTGATCTTTGTTTAGACCATATTTTTCAAAGTTAATTGTGATTGTTTTAAATAACTATTTGGATTTTTTTAAATATTCCTCAATAAAACATATTTCAGATTCCATTGAAAACTGGGGTTTTAAATTATTTTGTAACTCATTTTATTCATTTGTATTAGCAAACTTAAAAAACAATTTTTTAAAGTAAACAAAATAAATTGAAAATATTTAGTTTTTTTGTATCGTATCTTAATTATTATGGAGGTTATTTGAAAACTTAAATCGATTATTAATTGATAATTGGTTATAATTGGTTATTGATAATAAACCAGTTGTTTATCCAGTGGCGTCGTAAGTACTTAAAAAAATAATAATAAAAAAATGTCTTATTTTAATAACACACCCTGTATCAATATTTATCAAAATTAGAACTTAAGTATCTTGGATAAGGAGAACTCAATATAATTTATCAGATTTGAAATAAATACTGTCCTAAGGGTAGTTTACTCTTGACTCGAAAAATATCAAACCCCACTAAAACGTACGTCTATGAGATATCGCATTTCTTACCCTGGGCAAAATGTACGTCTTATAGCCATACAGCCTTCTGCCAAAAGTGAAAAAGATCGCTCAACAAACAACCAAGATAATGGCTTGTATCTATATTAATTGGGACACCCTGTATAATAATGCCAACAAATTTATTTACAAACTAATACCATAATAATAAAAATCGGATTACAAATTAAAAAGTTATGAAGTCAAAATTTTAGAGTGGCGGAATTTTGTGCCGGGTAGTTTATTATAATATACCACACTATCTAAAAAAACGGCGTCAAAGGCGGCAATGAAATGGAGATCGCTGTAATTTAATATGGAGAATGTCATCGATCGTCATTTCATAGCTAACTGGACGCCGTTTTTTTTTCCGTATAATACAGTATCTACCTTCTTTTTTAGATAATTTACTGGGATAATCAAAATATTTATATCGAACACAAATTTATCAGTAGTGATAAATTTATTAATGCCATAGCACTGTGTAGGCTGAGACTAGTCAAATGTGATGCCGATATTATAATGAAAGAATTAATACAGGATGTTCCAAAAAATGTCGAGGTTGAAACGACGCGAAGAGACAAGCCGGAACTGCCTAGTGACCTAGAAAAATGGATAGAAAGTAATCAAATTTCTAGTGATAGGTTAAGGCAGAAAGATATAATAGATGAGAAGGAAATTGAAAAAGTATAAATTATATTTTATTAATATTTTGCTGTATAAAGTATAAATATTCTAACTGTATTATACAGGGTGTTCCTTAATGACATGCTAATATTTAAGGGCGTGAATCTTGGACCTATTCTAAGAGAAAAACTTCATATTAATGTATGTCCCAAACATCTTAGTTTCTGAGATACAAAATGGTAAATTTTTCTCCAAAAAAAAACTTTTTTTCATAACTCTGATTTTATTACAGATATCTTTATGAAATTTGATACACGTATTCCATGTATCCAAATACCTTTTTTGGTGTACAAATAATTTTATTTATTTCAGCCAGTCCCGTCCATAGGGGTTTTACCTGGTTTTACATTGAATATTTTTGGAGAAAAAAGTGGTACACCACTGACTTCTCTTAAAATAAAAATTGTTTTCAAAATCTCCATTCATTTCTAAACATTTTTTGTCTCTTGATTTTTTTCGTCCGACGTATAGTTTTTGCTTAAAAAATTAGAGTCAGTTCATTTCAGGGTCAAATCGCTGAAAATATGATATGGTGACTGTTGTGTGGAAAACATTTCTGCATCGGCTGGAAGGAAATTAAAAAATGATTTTTTTTGTATATCAAAATAAGCATTTTGATGCATGAAAGACGTGTATCAAATATACAATCAGAGATATTTTGAAAAAAAAGAAAATTTTACCACCCTGTATCTAAAAAGTTAAGATGTTTAGGACATACAGGGTGTCCCACTTAAGATGGATACAAGCCAATATCTTGGTTGTTTGTTGAGCGATATTTTCATTTTTGGCAGGAGGCCAATTTAATTTTTTATATGGCTATAAGACGTACATTTTGCTCAGGGTAAGAAATGCAATACCTCATAAGACGTACGTTTTGGGGTTTGATATTTTTCGATTCAAGAGTAAACTACCCTTAGGACAGTCTTTATTTTAAATCTGATAAATTATATGGAATCCTCCTTACCCAAGATATTTAAGTTCTAATTTTGATAAATATTGATACAGGGTGTGCTATTGAAATAAGACATTTTTATTATTATTATTTAAGTACTTACGACGCCACTGGATAAACAACTGGTTTATTATCAATAACCAATTAGAACCAATTATCAATTAATATTCGATTTAAGTTTTCAGATAGCTTCCATAATAATTAAGATACGATACAAAAAAAACTTTGTTTAGAGCATATTTTTCAAAGTTAATAGTGATTGTTTTAAATATCTGGATCTATTTGGATTTTTTTAAATATTCCTCAATAAAACGAATAAAAATCATATTTCAGATTCCATTGAAAACTGGGTTTTAAATTATTTTGTAACTCATTTTATTCATTTGTATTAGCACACTTAAAAAACAATTTTTTAAAGTAAACAAAATAAATTGAAAATATTTAGTTTTTTTGTATCGTATCTTAATTATTATAGAAGATATCTGAAAACTTAAATCGATTATTAATTGATAATTGGTTATTGATAATAAACCAGTTGTTTATCCAGTGGCGTCGTAAGTACTTAAACAAATAATAATAAAAATGTCTTATTTTAATGACACACCCTGTATCAATATTTATAAAAATTAGAACTAAAGTATCTTAGGTAAGGAGGATTCAATATAATTTATCAGATTTGAAATAAATACTGTCCTAAGGGTAGTTTACTCTGGACTCGAAAAATATCAAACCCCATTAAAACATACGTCTATGAGGTATCGCATTTCTTACAATGGGCAAAATGTACATCTTATAGCCATACAGCCTCCTGCCAAAAATGAAAAAGATCGCTCAACAAACAATCAAGATATTGGCTTGTATCCATCTTAAGTGTATACCTGTATATTCATATGAATTTTTTTAACAAACAATCAAGATATTGGCTTGTATCCATCTTAAGTGGGTATATTACCCTGTATATTCATATGAATTTTTTTTCTTAGAATACCCTGTATATTGGATGCTCTCTATTACTCCATCTTAAAAAATATACATATATTGTGGTTGTATATATGAAAAGATTTAATTATTCTTTTATCATAAAATTAAGTTATTTTGTTTTAATAAACTGATTAAAAAAATGGTACAATTTTATTATACTTACCTTATTATTAATAAAAAAAAACAAATTATAAATCAAAAGTAGGTTTAATGTTTATATGTATAAGAATAATAAAAAAATAAATGTATATTCAAAAAATATCTTAGTTACACCAAGGATAGTCATCTTTCTTAAACGGTGTTAATGGCAAATCATAGATAAAAGGAAACACTTTTTTATTTTTCATATTGGGAGAGTTTGAAATTTCGAAATATTCCTCTCCGAAAAATTTTGGCAGAAACATCACGCCCATCTCATAGGATCGAATGTAACTTCCACCGTCCTTTTGTATATTGCTTCCCCACGCCGATTTCGACAAGTTCGCACTAGTTATAAGGAAAAAGGCTAGTTTACAAAGATCTGGAGATACTCTACAATAAGTTTTTATGTGCGGCATAGCCCTGGTTCTATTCCTTCCATCAGCAATCCATTGGCTATAAAATAGTATTTTGTTTTTATAGAAGTAAAAATTATACTTTCTGTGGCGAGGCAATACGTTTGACATTACAGGCGAGGCAGAAAGTCACTTTCACAAAACATCCCCCTTTAGAACTTCATCTGTCATGTTAAGAAATGAAAGTAAATAAAGCGCCTCTTGTGTTTGTTCGCAAACTAAAAATTTCAATTAATGCTAGTATATATTTCTAAATTTACATTTTTTTAAATTGTAAAGTAATATATTACAGAACATATTACAGATATTGCATAACAATTAGGTATGTCAATTACAGGCTTGTTTTCTAACATTTTTTAAATAAAATTAATTATAAAATTCCAATATACGTATATTTGTCGTAGGTATGAAAAAAGTAAAATATGAAATGGGCCAAAGCTTACTTACATTGTAACAAAACTGCCATTTTTAGTTTTGCTATCCAAGTACAATATTTCTTTTTCACAAATAAAAATATACGACAACACTAAAATCACTGAAATTTCCGCAGCTGACAACTGAAAAATATAACAGCACTTTTTGTTTTCAACCTGTATATGAAAAGTACGCTGTACCATTATGTTTTTGTTTTTGAAATAACATAAAATATAATAGAATTGTCTAATTACTAATTATTATAACTTCGTGAATTTTAATAAACTCACCGGTAAAAAAAACCGGTCACTAAAAACTAGTCCCAATTTCAAAGTTGGATTTCTCGCGAACTACTCATTAGATTTTGATTTTGATGGGTTTTTTTATAAATTGTGCAGCAGCTGTAGTAGCTATTGCTAAATCAAAACATGTTGTAGCCTCATCTTTTGTGAGCATTTTGTTTTTTTAATCATGACATTATCTCTGTTTGTATTGAAGATACGCTGCTTTAAAACGAACGTCTCCGAAAAATGCTTCGCAGACAGAAAGTTTTATGTGTAAATAATCAAGGCAACGGTTGTCAAATTAAAAAATTCCATTACCTGTGACAGATGTTGCTCGTATTGTGGCTTTAATTGAGGATGGCCGAAGTCAACATTATGTGTCCGATACCTAGAACAACAGTCCAGAATGCCTGGAATCGGTATATGGAAGCGGGAAATTTCATCAGTCGAGTGGGTTCCAGAAGAAAACAGAAGACAAATGCAATTGACGACCTCTTTATTATCCTGAATACTTTACGAAATCGTAGAATTACAGCGCTTCAGAATCAACATCTGCTACAAGCCGTGCGTAAAACTCAAGTCAGTGAGAGAATCCGACGAAGATACAGAGTGGTACAAAGTTCGGGCAAAAAACTTCGTCTTATTGTTGTGCCCTGTATATGCTCAAAATAAATTCAGAATAAAAATTTCTGACTTAACATCCGTTAAGAAGGAACTAATTTACAATTTAAAAAAAAATCATCAAAATCTAATGAGTGGTTCGCGAGAAATACAACTTTGAAATTGCGACTAGTTTTTAGTGGCCGTTTTTCTTGCCGGTGAGTGTATTTTAACTATTTCTGACAATAACTAACTTTTTGTTATCAAGATGACATTTTTGACAACTGACATATTTTAATTTTAAATATGTATGTAATAGAATTTAAATTAATATAATGCAACTTTATACTAAAAAAACATTTATACAGTCACAAAATACAACATAATCTAATAATATAGTTGATTTGTTTTCGCAATTTTTACACGAATTGATGACTGGTGGGGAGTCAAGTATGTGTTCGCACGGTTAATTATTTACTCCCGTTTACGACCATTAAAGAAAATGTTCTAAAGGAGGATGTTTTGTGGTCACTTTTACTCTGAATAGAACATGCTATTTTTTTTTAAATGGCACAAATAATTTTTTTAAACATCAAACGTTGCAAATAAAAAGGATAAAAAAATAATTGAACTATAGTATGTATTTACCCTTCCTAAGATGTTTTATTCAATGAATATGATAAAATCTTGTTTATATAAAATGCTGTTTACTTACTGCATATACGTCTGTAACCATTTCTGCTTCTCATTGGTAGCTTTCGAATAAGGAAGACAGCCGCCACTCTCAAGCCCAAAATATCCATTAGCTACATTCTCTACACTAGGATATATAATACTGATAGTAGCTTGAGAGTTATTTGGACGAGGGCTTTGTTTGTGACTAGCCAAGCTCCTCAACAGATTACCCCTAAACCATTCTGCAGGACTCTTACCCATCGAACCTAAAATTAATTTTTATATTTAAACAAATAAAAAAAATACAGCAAATACTTTCATATGGCAATCGCAAAACAATTTCCGATGCACGTGATCAACTTTGAGTGACAAGCGATGGTACAGCGCTGCCAGATTGTGATGGATTTATGGGACGAATCTTAATGTAAAATTGGGAAACAGTATATTTATTGTCATTTTTTAAAGATTTTTACGTATTATTTATAATTTAATAATTAATATTTTAGTAATTAATTGATTTATTTGTTTTATAACTTATTTTACTTATTACTTTATTGGCAAAAACTAGTCCATTACGAAGATTATTCTAAGCGTTATTATGGGATATTTATTTATTTACTGATGAAGAATTTACACCTCAAGTGGTAATAACAAATAAGAGGATAACATTAATGCACAAACTAATTATAACAGAATTTAATAAAAACTAACGTAGAAATAGCTTTGAAAGTGGTATAATGTGCTTATCAATCAAACTTACTTCTCTGACTGCATCAAGGGTAATAAAGCACTTTTATTGTGACGTTCTCTTTCAAAATAGATTATCAGGGAAGCTACAAGCCCTTTGCTTTGACTGTTTAAATGCTTTGGCGTATTTTCAACACACAATTTCAAGAAATGCAAAACAAAAACTCGAAAATTTAGTTCTTAAAAGAACTGTTTGATTTTAAAAGAACATTTTTTTAAAAAATACTACGAAAATCGGCAAAAAACGAGGATTACTCGCAAAGATTCAACAACAACACGATATTAAGTATACAAAATAATGACTGACATTATGATAATTGTCAAATAATAAACAACAACGTTGCTGAATACCGCGCAATGTGACAAATATAGCGATAATAAAATTCGGTTTAAACTAATTTTTGCAGCTTTAATCTAAATAAAATATCTGTTACAATCATTTGCTCTATAAAGTAAAATAAAGAGCTGCTCAGTTCTTAAATTATACAACAAATTTAAACAGTTTTGCCAAAATTTCATTTAGTCAAGTTTATAGGCTTTAGTGTCAATTTCTATATGATTGATGACGTGTATCGGAAAATGTTTTTCGATTACCATATGTACTATATACCTATACTAGAAGCTTGAGCCATAATACCCCATGATAGTGGACCTTCACTTTCAGGGGTAGTTTTTACAGGTAAAGTACAATGCTGACTTAAAAGGTCACCTACTTTATGAAGATGGTTTCCATTGCTTTTCGGATAGTGTTTGCCTGGTGTTGAATAAACTAGAGCGACCTTTACATTACTAAAATCAGCATTTTTAACATATTCTATCCACTCTTTTAAAATTGCCAAGTTATAACTTTGTAGATATTTGATTAGGTCCTGTTTAAAGCTTGTAGGAGATTCGCCATCTTTTACTGTACTTCCCTCAGGTAATTTTGGACACACAGGGCTTATCCATAAACTAATAATTATTTTTAAACTTATTAATTAAACAATGAAATTGTTCAAAGAGTCAAGGAAGATTTAGATATATGATAAAAATAAAAATGTTTCTGATTACTCTTAATCTTATACTGAAAAAATTACCCTTGGTTATAATGATTCCAATCCTCATAATACAGATTTGCAGTCGATACAACTATTCTCAAAGAGTTATCTTCATATACATAAATTCCAACCTTTCTAAAAAATTGACTTTTAATATGATTGTCTGTACAAGAAGCACCTACTTACGAATGATGACATCCAAAAGGATCTTTCATTTTAACAAAATGATATTTGACGTTTGGACAAAATTTATCCATAAACTCTACCATATCGGGCCAGTCATCTCCATATAAGATAGTTAACGGTTTCGTACTTAAAATAAGTGTTTAGATACATTAGCCAACTATAAATGTAGACTTACTGTAAGTTTCGAATTTTATATTGTTTTAAAAGCCAGTCAATATCAATCATAAAATTAATTTGTAGAGAACATTTTAACGTTCCTAAACTAGGACATAATAAGTCTAAAAAAATAAAACACTTTACTTAAAATCATTACTGTATTATGTCTTTATTTACCCGTAAATGTTACTGCGTTTGTTTCCTTATATGTTTCTGGGCTTTTTGGAATAGTTGTAAAAAATAAATTGTATGGATCATTTACCTTTAATTTATGTAACATCGTTCCTGCTACAGTATTTTTAACAAGTTCCGAATTTTCTGTTTTAACTATAGAAAATGGATTAAATACTGTCGTTTTTCCCTTTCTTGAAACTTTACTAGTACTTGGTTGCATATTATTACTGTCTAAACTTTCTTCTTTAATTTCTGTTTGAGATTTAGCGATATTGTTTATAGGCTTTTTAGCAGCCTCAATTATGGGTCTTAATATATCTAATTGTTCTAAATAAACGTCTTTTGGCTGGGGCATATTATCTGGTATTTTTACAGAGTCGCCCATTTCTAAGAGACTAATTACTGCAAATTAAACCGAGATAGTTACGTTTCAAATAAATAAATTAGAGCATTACAAAATGGATGTTGAAATTCTTTAAAATGATGGGGATTTTTCCTGTAACATCGTTCCTTATGGGGACATTCTTCTCTTTTAGGTATTTTCGCATCTCCATCTACAAAGAAATAGGTCATATTGCGTAGGATCTTAATATCTACTTAATTTACCTGTTCCGTTTACTTCTGTGATCTTTCGTTTTAAATATGACTCCATATTACCCTTGTTTAGATATTACTGACTTATTAAAAAATAAATAGAAACTGTCCCTTTTTAAATAATTTTAACTTTTTTGAGGTTAGGTTAATTTTAGTTCACGGAGGAATAAGAGAAGGGAGACGCACCTACGCACGTATTTCTGTACAATAAAAACGGTATCAGGAGGCGGGGCAAAAAGGTCCGATTTGGACAGGACTGGATTAGGTAAAACTTCAAATAATAAAAGCAAACAATGATTAAAATTTGCCTTGAGCTAATGTAATGTAATCCACTTTAATGCGTGTCCGATATGCTGTAGTAAACTTATGCCTCGTAATTCGGTAACTTAATTTTTATTTTTTTTTCTCGATAATTTTGTTGTAGCTGCGTTTGGCTGCGTTACGGACCTGTCCATTGTTTATGTTACCTGTAAAACGTCAAACCGGCGAGTTTCTTCGAGTCGATACGTTTTCTGCTCCAACAACTGCATACAACACACGATACCATGGTTTTTAAAGTTTTTGTAATAGAAAACACTCAAATTATCTTTGCAAATTATCGATGAAAAACATTTTTGGAAAAATTGGAAAAAACACAAATGACAAAAAGAGACTACCAACCACAGAAGAAAGAAAAAAGAAGCCACCCATAGATAAATGACTTAGTATAAAATAGATAGGCAACTTATAATACATTACAATTTGATTATAATTTGATTATACAAAGGCGCTACCTGGTGGTTGTAGGAAGAAATACAATGTGAACAGCGCGTTGCGGGGCAGAGGGAATTACTGTTTTACTTTAGTTGATTTAAAATAAACTTGCACATGTAAGAATACTTTGTGGGCTTAATAATTAAATTTTGTAAACGATAAATCAACTTAATTAAAAGCATACAAAGTGTTCTTATATGTTAAAGATTAATTAAAAAAAATATTGCTAAAGAAAAAGACTAGTAATAGAAGAAATATTGAGTCGTAGTTATAAATTTAATCTTTTTTATGTCACTAATAAACTAAAAAAAAATAGTTTTAAAGCGTACATTTTCTTGATTTAAACCATATTTAAACTATAAGCCTATGACCAGCCTATGACTTTAAGCGACAATGTAAAACAAAATATCTCGCCATGTCAAATTGTCACAAAAAATATAAATAAATAATATAATATATTATAACATAATATCTAAATAGGTACATGTATTAAATTTAAAAATGTTTATATCTGTTAATAATAGCAAAATGTTTAAAATTAGTAAAGGAATGATATATTCATTACAATCCCCCCCCATTTTAGTATATTTAATATTCCGCGGAATAACAGTTTGGAAATTGTTGATTATTTAATGTATTAAAGCGTTTAATAAGTGTCGAATGCATACGCGTTGTTAATTAATTGTATTGATGGCGGTCAAGGGAACAGAAATGAATAAATAGGTATTTCGCGTAAACAGACTAATCCAGTTAATATGTTATTACTAAATTAAATGCCATTATTAAATTTAATTATTGATCGCATAATATCGTGTGAACATCACGGCATACAATAACGTTATAAAGAATTTCGACTTGGGTTGATAATAAATATACGTGCATGAATTTCCTAGACATTTTAGATTCCTAGACTATTGATGATTGCGTTTTCTGATTTTGCTTGCGTTGTTAGCGCTTCCTCTTTGTCGTGTTTCTCAAGATCTTTCGGCTAGCAAGCAACGGCGTCCACATTGAAATGTAGTGCTTGCGTTCGTGCTGTTCGGACATGGATGATACCGAAGTATTTTTAATAGCGGCTGCTAGTGCGATCATTATTGCAAAACGAAGGAGACAAAGAGAAAAAACGCGGTGTTGGATGTCTAATAATTTCAAAAGTAGATCCCAGCACGGCGAAAGGAAACATCTACGCGATTTACAAACAGTCAGAATGATTTTTAATATTTTTTTTATCGCATGTCCGCTACTGATTTCGAAAGACTTAGTTGGCCCCCGTATAGAAAGAAAAAATACAACTTTTAGGAAGTGTATTCCAGTTAAAGAAAGAGTTAAATAAAAATTAGCCAGAACAGTAAGATTCCTTGAAACTAGAGACTCACATACCACCTTACAGGTTTATTTATTCAAAGTTTCCAGCAAAGCATTTCAAAAATAATACCAGGCGTATGCCAAAATATAAATAAAGTTCTCAAAGATCAGATTAAGATAACTAGGCAATATAAATATAGAGTTATATTGAAATATTGGTATATTTAATATTATTAATCAAAAAACAAAACACAACCCATACAGCACGTCCAAATGAAATTACGTTTCTACAAGGGAGACACATGAGAAACCAAATATGTTAAAGTGAACCTAAGTGTTCATCTAGTTCTAACATATACATATGAGATACACGCAGGTTTATATTGATAGAATTGTTTGATACAGTGTTTACTAGTTGTATACCGTATGCACTCAGGATTCTAAAGAGTTTTTTGTAACGTAACAAATAATTATTAAAATGATGAAATCTGACGTCGGTATATGAGACATACAATGTATATGTCATACTTCGTGTGTGATACTTCGTATCATAGTTGTGCCTATAGTACACACCTTGTAAAAATGTGACGTAAACACATAATATAAATTTCTATATAGACACTTTGTAATAGTGCACTGTTGTGTCTACATTCTAGCATGAAATGAAGGTGTGCGCACGCGCGGATAGCCTCAACGTAGATACACCGACCAAGTGTATCTTATGTGTTCTCTCTCCTTTCTCCTTTCTAGTAGTGGTATGTGTTAGCAGCCATTATTGTTGTGTGTGTATCATTCGGAAGCTCTATATAAATGTTCTTTCTGTTCGTGTGTAGTTTAAAAGAGATTTTAAGCTAAGCACAAGTTTTTAATTACCTTGTTACACCTTCCTAAGAGTATTTTTAATATTATAGCAGCGACTCTTCCCTTACTCGATATCCAATTTACCAAATTTTGACTCCAATGAATGAAAACTCCAAATATTCTCGTATAATGATAAAGAGGTTAACTCTGCAATATAATTTTTTTTAATTTGGAAATAATAAAATTCTAAATGGACCAGGGAAAGAAAGATTTAAACACTTCAAAGAACTTCTTACACTGATATTCGGTAAGTTATTAATGGATCAATATACAGGTATGTTTAATATTCAATAATCAGTTTCATATAAAATTTAAGGGTGAGATTGTTAATCTCGACGAATGAGTATGCTAACAAACCAACTGCTTGGAGGAAAAAGAAGAGAAAAAAATGACTAAAGGAGGTCGACCAAATCGTGGCAATATACCAGTGTTTACCATTTTAGTATGTTGTTATACTAGGTATACTTATATTTTTAATACATTTTGATACAAATTCTGTTCTTTTACAGTGTTTTCTTACTTCTGGTTTCTGCAGTGTAAATAATTATTATTATTAGAGAACAACGGCATACGGTCAAGTCGGCCGCTGCTGGCACGTATACGTAGACGTAAAGCATCTTTTACATGTATAAAAAATAAGAGATATAAGAATTGCGCATGCGTACGTAAACGTTTACGTGTTTGTAGGCCGACTCGACCGTATGCCGTTGTTCTCTATTGTGTTATTTGCGCTATTGCGTTCCATGATATAAAGAAATATAAGAATTTTATTTTTAACCACTTAATCCATTTTATGGAAAAAAAATGGTACATTTAATACAAAACAAAAATGGAGAAATTTTAAGGCTACTTCTCTTGAACTTACGATCGATATACTTTTGGAAAATACAAAGTTTTGCCTCCCTAATTTTCGTTCTAAACAGATATAGTTGGTATCATTGAATAAATATTTCTTAAAAAGAACGAAAAGTTAGGCGTCAAAACTTGTATTATTTCCTAAATTCGTTCATAAGGAGTAGTTTTATCTAGCACAAGATGTATATACGAAGCAAAATACATACGTATACACGCAGTAGTCACAACTGCAATGTGTAAACAGAGTTTAAACGTAATACACAAGCACTGTGTATCCTACGGCACACTGTGTATCCCTTACTTTGTGTATACGTAAATGCTATACTGTGGCTACATTGTGAGGCGGACGTTTAACCTTTGTGCATACGTGTTGAACTACAATGTGTAAACGTAGCATATTTACATCGGGGGAATTGTGTCACCCTGTGTCTACATCTAATAATGTAAACACATCGTAAATGTGATTTCATGTGCTGTATGGGAAATATTTGTAATTCTAAACAAAATAAAATAAGAAAAATCATGGTAGTATCATCATACTGCAGTAAATACCGAATCCTATGAATGAAACCAAACTAAAAACTTACCGTTTGTGTCGGGAAGGGATAATAGTTTTCATTTTATTTTGGGCTTGTTTCTCTCTACAATTTCCTCTCTCACAATGTACCGTTTGTGTCATTTTATTGATTTTATGGAAAGCACTGTTCATTAAAATGTTGTATCCTATGTTATAGGGCTTGTTTCTCTCTACTATTTACTGTCTCACAATGTACCGTTTGTGTCGGGGAAGGGATCATAGTTTCATAGTTGTAGATTTTCGAAAGAAATCAGTACATGTATATTATTTCGTATATTTTTGTAGTTATGGGGCTTGTTTCTCTCTACAATTTCCTGTCTCATAATGTACAATTTGTGTCGGGGAAGGGATGATAGTTTCATAGTTCTCGATTTTCGTAACGCTCATGGTTTGTGTGATGTAAAACTGTTTCAGGTAGTAAAAATAAGCGAAAAACAATTCGAACCAGACGTCGCACATAGGAGTATTTATGGCAAAAATGGGCGCAAAATTATTTTATTATTTTTTTCGGTCTAAAACACGTTTACTTAATTAAAAATATAATTCTAAAATATAACATTTTATATTTAAAAAAAAAATACTATTGAACTCCGTGTAATATACAGGGGGTTTCACTAACGTCTCCAAAAAAAATGTGGATTGGTATCTTGGATTAAAAAACATACCAAATTTTTTTTTACGTAAAAATTATAAATGTGATATAGTAGTTTATGGTTAAAGATAGAATACAGGTACGTATAAAAAGTAATAAACGAAGAAAAAGAAAAGTAATAACGAAACAATATGCGAAATGAAGTTTTTCGCAATAATAAAACAAAGTTGAATAAAACAAAGAAAACTTAATTATTTCAAAGGAATTAGTCAGTCCTCGTAATCAAAATCCTGATCAATATCATCTACTAGGTTTTCATCACCCGATTCATCATCTAATACTTGATGGACGATGCTGATGTGTGGTGGATCTATTGCCACCATAAGATCCAATTCTTCTTTGGAAAATGGCTTTCTTTTCTTTTGATGCTTTGGATGGATAGAGCTTAGATATGGATCCGAAGCTAGCAGTAGTCTGTTTAAAATATCTCGGTTGCACTGCTCACGCGAAAATTTTCTTGAGAATCCAAGCCTGTATTGCCGAAAAGTTTTATTGCGAGCCTCTACCGGCCTCCTCCGATAACTGTCCTATTGGAAGAATTACGTGACTTATTACTAAAAAAATACTCAGCAAAGTAAATTATTTTAGTTTTTTTTTTAATCGGCAGCTTGACCGATAAATGTCAACTTCACTTACATTGATTAAATTAAGAATTTTTCAACAACAACCTTAGCTATAGTTGCGCAAATAATGGTAAGATTGACCAGACTTGACAACTAAAAAAAACTCACATTTTCTGGCAAAATAAATATAACAAGTTCATTAAAATCAAATAAAAACATACCTTGGCCTTCCATATTTAGGTTACGTGATGTCCACAAGTCAGCACACAAACTAATAATTCCAGAAAAAAACGTAAACTTCCAAAACAGAGAAAAATTGGCAAAAATTGGCAGAATTCTGACTAATATACCAGGCTAGCGATTCTGTAAACATATTTCCTGTCTAGTGACTCATCAATCGTATACAAATAGCATAGGCTAGACAGGAAATTTCTTGCTACGGAGCTTACAGAATCCCACCCCAGGTGGAGTGTGACACGGTGAGATGTTTGGTATCTGTCATTTGTTAAACCTGTTTCTATGCTAAGAAAATAACACAAATCAAAGCGTTCACGGCCTACTTGATATTTTATCGACTTTTGCGCGGATTTATGATATAAATACTCCTATGTGCGTCGTGTTGTGGTTGTGACAATTTCAAATGTTAATAAAATTGCTGAAAAAAAGTTAACGCTTAAAGGAGAGCGTAATTAGGGCATTGTTGGGTGCAATAACATTCAATAACTCAACTTTCCCGGCTTTTCAACTCTCCCGAAACAACCTTTTATAACTTTATAATTTCTCACACCGATATGATCAAAAGCAAAAATGAATTCAAGCAGTTCGACGAAACAAGTGAGTAAACAAAGTGCTCGTTACATCATCAAAAAATTAAATAGCCATATCCTATGAGAGAATGAAATATAATTTGTGTGCAATATTAATGGTCAGCCCCGGATCTACAATTTTCTGAACCGGAGCAAAAAATCGATAGTAGCGCCCCCTCTCTCCAGTGTTTGCAATAAATTAATTTAAAAAACTTACAAATATCTAAATATAGGTAGGCATTTTTCGTAAACGGGACAGAATGAGCCCTTAAGCTTCATTCAGAGCCTCCGAATTAGTGGAATAAATTAATGGTTTCAATTAGCGTGGAAGTTTGTTCCTTTAATTTCATTGTAAGCATTCAGTACGTCTAAATTAGTGGTAGTCATTTTCAATTAGTAGAAAAAGTAAACAAACTTTTGACTTTTCCACTAATTATACCTTAAATTTTGCGGAAAATGCCATTTTGTCCATTGATTAGCATCCGTCAAGAGAAATCGTGGTTAGAAATCAAAAGTTTATTGTTTTATAAGCGAAATATTTGGCTTTCTTTATGGATACAACTGACTACCGCAAGCTGTTGCTAGGATATTTTATTAATTTTAATTGTGTTTTTTAAACATTGTGAATGATCGTAAACTAAAAAGTGTAATTAATTGAAACCGCTAATCTATTCCATTAATTGCGAGGTTCTGAATGAAACTTTAGAATGTGTTCAAAAACGAACTGGGCGTTTTAAAATAAAATGAATACTTGATAGAAGAACGTAAAGGTGCATACTAGGCGCTTTGTGGAGCAATTTTTTTGATTTTCAACCATATTATATTATGATTTTGGCGCCCCCTGACACTGGCGCCCGGGGCAGGCGCCCCGGTTTGCCCGCCCTTAGATCCGGGGCTCTTAATGGTATACTTTTTTAATCAACTAGTGATTAAATGTTTTATGAACAACTTCTAAAAATTATAATTATATGTACATTTAAAAAAACTTCGTTATAGCCGAAACAGCCCCAGTAAAAACTATGCTCGCTACCGTAGTTGAACTGATCTAAATTTTTTTTAACTGGAATAATAAATTATAATGCAAGTTAGACCTTCGGAAGATATCAAAATATTTACCTTTTTATTTTTTTGTTTAGAATTTCCATAAATTACACTTTCTAACACTTTTAGAATAATTATATACTATTTTTTTCGTTTAGTCGCCATTTAAACCCGTGTATTTGTATGTGTTCGTTATTTACGAGTTCTCCGGCGGTGGCAGCACCGGCGGAGAATGCAAGCCTATAGGTCTGGACATGGTCTGGACTAATACTTGCCCATGGACTATAGTTGATATTCTCCGCCGTTCGATGCCGAGCGTCTGCGTCTTGACGCCCGCAAATCTCGTTGCCCGTAGTGCCGATCCGGACGTCGCGACGCTCGATCATCGGCGACTTCGTCGATTTTTTTACGGAAAATTACGGGCAAGGTCGACCGCCACGACTAACAAATCCAGCATCTTTGTTCCCTGGCATTACCTGACTAACTACAAAAGTTACCTACCATATCAGCAACCAACGAAAATAGTATTTATCTATCCCACAATGTAAGTTTATGCATTAGATTTAGATACACTCATTTGAATTTCTTTTTGAAGAATGTATACGTATATCGAGATGAAATTTGTAGTGGGGGACTCACCACCTCCTTGTTGAGATTTCCTGTTGCACATTTCATGTCAAATATTGTTTTGCCAGTCAAAAATGTACATGTTGAAGTTCAATAAAAATGCCAGAATTTAGAAATAATAAAAACAGAATAGATTTTTAATTGTAAGATTTTTTACGTATTTTTGTCTGGCAAGAAATGTTTGCAGCAAACTTTTTTTCTCAGACGATGTGCTTTCAGTATCTTCTTATTGAAAGATGCATGGTGACAAATCGATAAGTGCTTTTATACAGGGTGTTTCAAAAAACCTATGCTATCTCTCGTGGGGAGATTCCTCACGTAAAAATAAGATTTATTTTTCATATCAACATAGGTCCCATTCTGCTTTGTTTAGTAGCTACAGGGTGTTTAAAGTCTTAATATTTTTTCGATTTATTTTAATTTTCTTCCAAGTACTTTTAGCGTTTCGAATGAAATTTTGGGGGTGAAAGTTACTATAAATGCGACATATTTTAAAGCTAAAAAAGTGTCGACATATTCACCAGGGACTTGCATACTGGAATATTTTTCTATAAAAAGCATGTACGCCACTGACTTTTTTCTTTTTGTTAGCGAAATAGTGTAAGCAGTTTAATGCCGATTAAAAGTTGTCTCTTGATATTTTGTCGATTTCGGCCTCCTTGATGAGATAAACTGAATTTTATTAATTTGCCTTGATCCAAGAAGTCTAATAGGAAGCTTTAAAAAATGTATTATCATTAACTCGGGAAAGTTTTAAATAAGTACTATTTGATTCCTCATCAAAAAATATGAAAAAAAGTTCCTATAAACATGGGTGTGGAAATTCATAGTTTTAAAGTTACAGGATGTTAAAACTTTTTAAAATTAGATTTTTTTTAATTATCTTAAATTACCTTTATTTTTTTATTTGAAATTGCTGTAGGTTGGACTAAGAGTAATAATAACTAATAATAATAATAATATTTAATAATAAATTAAGTCAAATATATAATTTATTAATTTTATTTTTATTTTAATTTTATTAATTGTGATTAGTAAAAAATTCCGTTTATCTCATCAAGGAGGCCGAATTCGAAAAAATATTGATAGAGGTAACTTTTAATTGGCATTAAACGTCCTACACAATACGATTTTTATGAAACTTTATACACCTCTTCTATGCATTAAAATACCTTTTAAATAAAACAACGCTTTATTGTACAAAAAGCCAAAATAGCTTCATGACAAAGCATTTACACAACAAACAAAAGCACAAAAAATATACAAATAATAAAAAAATATCATACAATACAAATCAATTAAAAAAAAATTACGTCATTAAAATTACATCATTAAAATTACGTCATTAAAATTACAAATACGGTGCCCGGTGGCGTAGAGGTACAGGCTCTCGTCTACCAATCTCAAGGTAGTGGGTTCGAATCCTTCACCCGGCATTTCATCAGCCGACTATTTTTATTAAAATAAAAATAGTTTGGGTACCTAGGTCGACTCAGCCTTAAATGAGGACTTGGGATTCACAATCCTGAGGTAATAACCCAAGCAGCATTTGGACGTCGGGACAACGTTGTGTCACGCGACCAAACGTCGGGGCGCAACGTCGGCACAACCTCGTGCCAACCCTAGTCTGCACTAGTTTGGAGAATCATTTTTGGGTCGAAACGACGTTGGATACCGACGTTGGCTAGAAGCCTAATTTAGTACAAACTGCAACGTTGTTTAAAATCCTAATTCACAGAAATACAAAACTAATATGGCGTCTAAGTCGCGTTTTATCCTAAATTGGGATAATTATAGTAAAAATATTATTTTTATGATTTAGTTAGAGACATATGTCAGATGGCAGTGAAGGAAAACGAAACAAAAGTATTTAAGTGTGGAGGATGTTTGAAGATCATAATTATTGAAACACTTTAACCGACTCTGTAACTCGTTACCCAAGGCAAAAAAGTTAAACGCAAACAACTTTATTGATAAATGTATTGTTTCTACTTTGAAAAATACTAATGGGCCTTAAAATAAAAGAAGTTTTAAAAATATTCTTGAATTTTTTTTTAGTAAAATGAGAATAATTTATTCGCAGTCGAAAAAATTGTTTCCGCGTGTTTTTTAGGGTCAAATATTTCAAGTTAATGTATTCAAAAAGCAGGAATTGCTATTTTAGGAACGAAACATTTTCTTATTTAACAACATGGCGGCTTTCACTTTGTTGTTTTGGAGATTAAGATGGAGTAGTTCGAGTAGTCGCATACTGGACTAATAAAGTCGCAGTTCGGCCTTAACAGGTAGTATACTAGTCGCAAAATTGCCTAATTTAGTCATCCTAGAGTCTAGCTTGTGCCGCCCTCTATAATCTAATTAAACGAGGGAGTGGATAAACTATCGGTAATATATATCGATGTATATTTAAATTTAGTTTTATATGTACCTTTCTTATGTCCCATTTTAATTAAGTTTTTTTATAAAACAAAAAACAGCACTGAACTGTCTGACTGAACAGAACAATGAAGTGAAAATTTAAGATTTAAGGTTATGGTTCAATACAGTTGCAAAACGGTAGTGACTCGACGTCCTACCAACGTAAGAATAAGGAAATCTAAACAACGTTGGAATTAGTAAAACAGACGACGTTTGCATAACGTTGGAATAGGTCCTGAAACTGACGTCGGAAAACTCTCTATATTGTATATTGTAACAACGTTGTAACTACGTTGTCCGAATCACCTAAAGATCACTTAAGTAAAAAAAGTTACAAGACAACGTTTATTCGACGTCGCAGAAGTTTCTACTTTGCTGTAGTACTAGTCCAACGTCGGCACAACGTTATAAAAACGTTTAAATTTATTTTAATACCCAAGGTAGGGAGCTAACTATTATTTGTAACTAATCCAACGTTGTGTTTAGTAAACATGTGGTCGCAAGTCGTGAAAATGCTACTTGGGAATAGGCGGTTAAGTACTAGCCACATTACCTTCCTAGTATACCGAACGGCTCTAGCATGGCAAGCTGTACCTTGCTACTCCCAAGGCGTTAAACGCTATGTACGGGAGCTATTATTATATTAAATTACGAATAAAACATATATGGACATTGCAGAATACAGGCGTATCAATAAAATTTTACAAAAGGAAAATTGTAAATGGATAAAATCATGCAAGAGTTGTAAAATATTAAATACTAGACCTTTAACCAGTGTGTGAGATGATCAAAATTTAAAATTCAAAAATTGTTCATGATTAAACATCAACAAAAAAGTCGTTTACCGCATATAGGGCTCTCTCCAGTAAGTATGATTTCAGAGCTTTGCGAAATGCGGGAAAGAATGAAAGTGACTTGATATTCAAAGGCAGATGATTGTACATTTTTTTGGCAATGTACAGTATTGAGCCTTTAACTAGTTCCGAGCTCGAGGTTGGCAGATAAAGATCGTGCTCCGCATTCCTAAGTGGATAGTTGTGAGATGGCCTTTCCGGAATAGCAGATATGTGCTTGCGAATTAAGCAAACGGATTCAAAAATGAACAAGGAAGGAAGATTCAGTATTTTGAAATTTTTAAAAACATTCTGGCAGTGAGTTATACTGTGCAGTATCAATAAATATCGGCCTGCTCTCTTCTGAAGTTTGAAAATACGATCAAATTTTGTCGCGCAGCAAGTACCCCAGAATGGAAGGGCATAACGAAGATGCGACTCAAAAAGGGCATAATAGACCATTCTAGAGGTTTGATAAGTTAAGTTCCTTAAAAACTGATCTTAGCGCAAAACAGGCAGCGCTTAGTTTCTTTGATAAAGCTTCGATGTACAAGTCCCATTTTAACGAGTTGTCTACAAGAAGTCCTAAGAATTTCACAGAGTCCACGACGTCAATAGTGCTGTTATTAAGTACGAAAGGTTGTATAATACTGTTATATGACAAAACTTTAGTTTTTGAAAGGTTGAGGCATAGGAGATTAGAATCGCACCAAGATTTAATGGTGCGTAAGTCAGTGGATATAGTATTATATAGTGCCGTAACATCTGGGCTGCTCCAAGTGAAACTACTAATGTCTAGAATTGCAATGTCGTTGATAAACACCAGAAACAAAATAGGGTCAAGTACTGAACCCTGAGGGACACCACATTCTATAGGCTTACAAAAAGACATAGACGTTATTTCAAATCTGTTTGAGTAGAATACATACATTAATGTAATACATACATTACACATTATATATTATAAATTGTACTGAAGCTGTGGTTGGTTCCTTGTGAAACATCGTTTTTCCATCAATTTTCTTGATGTTACAATTATAAAACAGTCTAATAGATTACAATTTGATATTTACAGAAAACCCACTACCACAGACACTATAATACATAGTCAATCACACCAATCCTGGCAAATCAAAATGTCACCCTTTCATAGTTTAATTCATAGATTAGTAATGTTTCCACTGAGCCCAGAGAATTTTAAAAAAGAGTTAAATATTATTAAACAAATCGCCATCAACAATGGATATAAGTGTTCCCTTATTGATAATATGCTAAAGAAAAAACAAAAGAAAATATTAATGAAAAATTTTTATTCCGCTAATTCTAAAGACAATAACAATTATAGAAGACAAAACTAATGTCAAAAATAAGTCGGGTGTATATAGGGTGGATTGCAATGATTGTGATGCCGTGTACATAGGCCAAACAGGTAGAAATTTAGATATAAGGATTAAAGAACATGTAAAGTCTATTAACAATCTCCAGCATAGTTCTGGTCTTGCAACTCATTGTATAGTAAATAATCACAAAATTAATGAAAACTCAATAAGTTACTACACAGAGAAACAAAAAGGTAGACGCTTAAATTACATTGAACAGTTAGAAATACTAAAATCTGTTAAAAACGAAAATAATGTTAACGACCAACAAGGATTTCTAAACACATTTTTTATTACCCCTATTGTAAACTCTCTGAACCCACCCCTATAGCAAATATATATATAGTTACAGTGTAGTTAGACGATTAGTTCTTAAAAAACTCTTGAAAAAGGCCTAACAAGCCGAAACATATATGTAGAGTTAAAGTTACTCTTATTAAAAGTTTTTTGAAACATCTAAAAGCGTGCTTTATTAAAATACTAATATTATATATTATATTACATTGTTAGAGTACATTACAAATTGAGTACAAAATTGTACAAAAAAAACTCTGCGAAAATATTTTTTTAGTAAAACACGGTACAGGTACTAAACCTAAAATTTTCTTTTTTTGTTCCAGTGTTCAAAGAGAGCTGGAAATTACTAAACTCGTGAAAACATGGATGGAAAATCATGTTTAGGTCATTTCACTGCCATCGCTGGCTAAATGTGAATAATTAGAGGCCGGTATCTGGTAGTGTTATTAAAAATTTAGCTGCCCTCCAGTTTTACGAGCTATGTACCGAGCTGGGAATGAGTAAAGAAGAGATTTGGACGCTTTTTCATTATGCATTTGTTATGAAAGGTAAGTTTTTTAGATTAGGTACTTAAATTTTACTCGAGGAACATTTTCCACGGATAATTAAATATCTTGCAACATCTGGTTTTCTAATTTCTCTAATTATAAATCTCATTACATTGTCTAATTATACGAGGGATGCTGATTGTAAAAATATACAGGGTGGGTCAAATTGGACGCTTTTAAACGGACACCATTTTCTATAGGAGATAGAGGAAAACTAATATCGGTGTCTGGAGATCAATTTTTGTCAAAAGCATGATGGTGAAAATCGCACATCGATATCTCTTACCGTTTCGGAGTTACGGGGTGTTTTTCAAAAATGTGCATTTTTAACAAAAAAATGTATTTTTATTATTTTTTTTACGTAGAATTTAATGGTTTAAGCATAATTTTTTAAATTTAAATAATTTAAGAGTTATCAAACAGAAAATTTGATTTTTTATTTGGAACACCCTGTATATTTTTAATTAACTGAAAAGGACTTAAAATTGCATTTCCAAAAATATAGCACACTATATATTTTGTTAAAGTCCCCTTGAAAATAGAATTTTTAAAAGTTCGCCACTTTTAACTAGTAGGCTTTGGACCCCTTATTGATGATCAGCTCGAACGTGCGATTGATGAAAACTCGAACGCATATTCGGAACGCTGAAGTGGCTGAAATAATCAGCAAATTTTTGCAGCCAATTTCGAGAATAGCTAACCAAGATCTCAGCCGTTGGCCGTTGAGACCGCCGGACTTAGTGCCTCTGGATTTTTATCTTTGCGGAAGAATAAAGGTTATTATTTTTAAATTACCCGTATAATCTAGATATATATTAGAAGTATTTAGCGGTTATGCGAGGGTATCTTTCACCCCCAATGAGTTAATGACTTCAGCGAGAAATGTTCAAAAACGGTCTTGTCTGTCCATAACAGAAGATGGTCGACATGTCGAATACAACGATTCTGGTCCAGTCAGTAGAGTATCCATAGAGAAAGTCTAATAATTAGTTTATAAAACAATAAACTTTTGATTTCCAACCACAATATCTTTTGACGGAAGATAATCAAAAACCAAAATGATATTATACATACTCGCAAATTCTGAAGTATAATTAGTGGAAAATTTAAAGTTTGTTACCTTTTTCCATAAATTGGAAATTCCTACCACCAATTTTGACGTTCTGAATGCTAACATTAAAATTAGAGGAACAAACTTCTATGCTAATTGAAACCACTAATGTTGAAGATCTGTGTTGTTCAAACTTAAATGTAACAAGCAAACAATAAATGATAAAATTTGGACGCCGGCGCCGCATCAAAACTAAGTATAAACGCTGTTTTTTCGAGATTTCATTACACATATCTAATGCACATTGAAGATAATGATTAGGCAAAACAAAATTAACTCAGTGCTTTTGACGTGAGTGCCAAAATTACACTAAAAATATTGAAATGCGTAAAAGCTACTCGCATTAAAAAGGGATAATCGATATACAAAGCTTCTATATCCATTACATTACTAATCTGTAATGCATATTGTCAATTAGAATAAAATTAACCAGCTGTATTTTTGTTGAAAGAAAACAGAAGTAATGACTGATTCAAATTTCTATTTTAAAATGGATTCGACGTCATCGGTTTTTGTATATACAGGGTAGCGCACCTCATTCGCCTCGGTTGATTATACGAAAACGGAAAGATGTAGAAACAAAATATTTTATGGGTATATGTGCGAAGGCAATGTGCATATTTTAAAATTATTTTGCAATGTACGGTTGTCAGAACTAAGATCCATACCAAAGTTATATTTTTTTCTTATGGAACACCCGGTATTTTATTTCATTTCTGAATTCTTTGGCATAAAATAAGGCATTTATTATAAGGGTCTAATATGCCTCAAGAGCTTTTGTTTTTGAGATATTTAAAGATATTTAAATATGCATGCTATAATAAAAAAGTTCTGCGTTAAAAGACGTGTTCTGTCTAAAACACTCTGTACATTACTTTTCAGATTTAATTCTTGTGCTGACTTTCAAGCCAGAGAAATAAACTTACTAAAAAATTTGATTTGCTTCATTTGAGGGGTATCAAAAATTGCTGGTCTATTTTAAATATTTATTTTACATAAAAACTTCGTTATTGCATATGCAACACTATTTTTTTTATATAAGTCGAAGCAGATTTAAATGCTCTTTCAAACTATATTAGGTTTTCCTATATCTATCTAGATCAGTTTTTGAATAAAAACTTAGTAGCTATTTTCAAAATCGACATTAGTTGATGGAATTTATTTAAATTTATAACAGGTTATTTTTGTTTAATTTTCCTACAATAATGTTAATAAGTAAGTATTTATTTTATCAAGAAAAATGAAACAGTATCTGCTGGCGGAAGAAATGGATATTATTATATTATGTTAATAGTGATTTTATTTTGTGAGGACAAAATTGCTTGTTGGCCTGAAGAATTTAAATATCTTTGGTTTATGCTCAAAGATATCAAAATAGGAATTTTCTTGGGAAGCGTTCCTTTTAAACACGACTTTTCCTATTTTGCAGAGCTGATAGTGTGGTATATGAAAAACCTACTAGGCAGAAACCTGTCGTTGGAAGTGAATAAAATGAATGTACCTTAATTGGTTCTTTTACAGAAAATCCAATATATCTACAAGTCATTGTAATTAAGTCTTTATTTTTCTTGATAAAATAATAAATACTTACTTATTAAACTATCGTAGGTAAATTAAATAAAAATAAACTGTTATAAATTTAAAGAAAGCCAATAAACTAATGTCGATTTTAAAAATAGCTACTAACTGTCACTCGTAAATTGCCATGGCTTGACAGCAACCGTCTTGATTGCCATTTTACTGAAAAATCTCTTTTTATTCAAAATCTGGGCCAGATAGATATAGGAAACCCTAATATAGTTTGAAAATTTAAATATATGTCACTAGCGTGTACCAGCGACTTCGTTCGCGTCGAATTAATCACTTGTAATGGTGATGATAAATCAAAGCAAGAATTTCCATTAACATACAAACTGGATAAAATTTTCTCACATTTATGTCAGCATGAGAAAAAACAATATGGCGATATTATTATATAACTTGGTAATATTTGAGAGGTAGTTTCATCTCGTTGGAATTTGTCTTTCGAAAAATCCGTTTGCCAAAAATAAGCTTTTTACGTCAAGCAGTTTAAGCAGAACCGTGGTTAAGAAATTACCCAACTTTTTGGAATACCTTGTATGATTTTTTAAAAAATTTCAAAATATGTAAAATAACCAAATAAATTATGCTTGTCCAAGCGTTTTCCCGAAAGACTAACCGTTTTTTAAATAACAAATATTGTAATATGTGAGGGGCGTTTTCACCCTCTTAGAATTTGAGATCGAACCTATACACCCCACAGTCAATCCGTTTGCCAAAAATCATCTTTAAACGTTAAGCAGTTTAAGCAGAATCGTGATTACTCAGTGGTTATATTTTATCACAAACTAACTTAAACAGATGCGACACCTTATGGGAAATTTTGTGTTCAAAAAGACCTATGTTCGGAAGTGCGACGACAGAGCGGCGATACCGTCGATGAAGGCAAAATATTCGGCCAAACAAACAGCCGTGGTGACTTCAAATCGTTCCCGAAATATACGTGTTTAAGAGTTTTTCCGAAAAACTCACCTGGTTTTAAATAAAAAATACTTTAATATTTGAGGGATAGTTTCACCCCCTTAGAATTCGAGTCTCGAAAAATCCCTTCTTATCGAACCTCTACACCCTAAAGTCAATCAGTTTTCCAAAAATCAGCTTTTTACGTCAAGCGCTTTAAGCAGGATCGTCATTAATCAATGACCAGATTTTTCGAAACACCCTGTAAATATTTTTAAAAAATCTTAAAATATGTAAAAAAACAAAATAAAATATACGTGTTTGACCGTTTTTTAAATAAAAAATATTGTAATATTTGAGGGGTGGTTTCACCCTCTTGAAACTGGAATTTCGAAAAATCCCTTCTTATCGAAACTCTACACCCTAGAATCAACCTGTATGCCAAAATTGAGCTTCTTACGTTGAGTGGTTTGAGCAGGATCGTGATTAATCAGTGTGTCAGTCAATTAAGGATTTTATATATTAGTATAGATTAGGCCATTTTTTTTAAAACGGGTAAGGCAGGTTTTCATATATGCATTGACGAAGGTATGAATAAAAGTATCGATCCGTGTCATTCGTTATCATCTTTACAGTCGCTCTTTATATGTTCAAGTAGGGTTTTTGTGTGCAGAACAGAGCGCAAACCCTAAAATACCTACTATTGTGTCTCCCCGTCTCGGGAACAGAGAAGGATGAATCCCTTCTGTTTGCCCGACATCCAACTGAACAAAAATAAAAGAACCTTTTTGTTAACAGAAATTGATTTACTTTTGTCTTACGTGAACTATTATATATGTCTAGAAATAGTATAACTAACTGAAAGGTCTAAAAGATATGATATAATAATATTTTCCAAATACAGATATTTTACACTATACGATCGAAAAAAAACGCCGTTAAGGACGGCTTGGGAATGACAATCGATGATTATTTTGGCAAGGTCAAGCTCTAACCGTCATTTATTTGGCCCGTACTCGTCTTAATTTTTTAATAAGCCAGTTGGCCTTAAGAGTCCATTTCACTAGTCCGAAAAAGTAGCAAAATAAGCGTTCGGCATTTAACGTTTTATGTCAAACTGGCTAGGTATTTTTACACAAATGAAGAAGGAAATTAAAGATAAAGGATTATACTATATCCGTATTGTAGCACATTTCAAGACAACTTCTTTATTTTTGAGATTTTGATTGTTTGGATTCAATTTTTCTCGAAAATAAAGACATAATTTAAAATTCCGTTACAATACGGAAATAGATTGAAGTTTTGTGATTACAGTGATATTAATTTATATGGTTTTGTAACAGATTGTTTGCTATTTTATGGCAAATGCTGAAGCTCTGCAAACCTTAATCAAAGCCCGTGTGTTTGG